AACCCTAACCCTAACCCTAACCCTAACCCTAACCCTAACCCTAACCCTAACCCTAACCCTAACCCTAACCCTAACCCTAACCCTAACCCTAAGTATCTTCAATTATAGGTCTGCAATTTGTATAGCGTTTTCTTTGGATAGCTACTACATAGCTTAGTTGTATTTAAAGGTAGGCTTAGCTTAGACTTGTCTAACATAACTGTCATAAACTGCTTAACCTTTAGCTAGGTGATTTTAAACAACCTAGTTGCTACCTTTTGCATCTCCTCTACACTTATTGTCTTCTTTAACGCCACTACCTTGTCTTGCTGCTTAACTACCAACTAATATACAATTAACATCTGCATTACCTTAATAACTGCCAAATACTTTAGCATGTAATCTTCTAGCCTATACTAACTATTATCATTGCGCAATCTTAACACTACTAACCTGCTAATTAATGCATTTTTATATAGCATATGCTTGTATTAATAGTTAAAAAACGCAACTGTTATATCTAAACATAACTAGTTTGCTTAGTCTTTACACTCTTGCTGCTTTACCTTATCTAATAGCATTATGCTCTCTACTTGCATATACTCTTTTATTGCCTTGCAAAACTTGTCAAACAAATTACCTTGCTTTTTAGTAAATGCATACAATAGCTAGTCTCTATTATCTTATTTCTATATCTGCTGCATATAACATAACAACTTGCAATACATTTCTTTATAATCTGCCTACATATCCTCTTCTATCTACCTGTCAAATAGCTTTTTCTGCTTAACATATACCACCTTTTTGTTAATCTCAAACAATATTGCATGCCTGCGCTACTTTACTACTACCTTTCTTGCCTACTCTATTACTTGCTTTATGCTTTCCCATATCTACTGCAATACTACCTTATCCTTGCTAATTGGCTTAACTATGCTACGCAACTAGGCTAAGTCTAAACCTTTCAAATGCATTAGCTAACCAATGCAATCTAACTACCTATTTGGCTTAGCCTTCTTGTTGCCTGCTTTAATCAACTGCCTCTTTAACTTAAACTACGCTATCTAGGTTGCATAGATTTATATCAGCTGCTTTTCTAATGTTTCTACACTTACCTCTGCTACTACTGCCAGCTTGCTGCCTTAGCTAACCTTAAACCAACTGCTTTTAAAGCTTAACTAGAAAAATTGCTAACAATGCATGCCTATTATCTACAGCACAACCTACTCTTGCTTTGCTTTTTTCACCACATTACTGCCTTTACTCTAATCATTTGCCTATCTATAATCATTCTAGCAATATCGCTGCATCTTTCTTACCTTTATGCTAACAAAGTTGCATTAGTTGCACCTTAAACTAACAACTAGTAGCTTAATAAACAAGATAAGTAAGATAGTAGATAGCAGGAACTTAAACTCTTTCAACTTATCCTAGGTTTTTGTAATGTCTAGGATTTAGCTTATCAATTCTGCAATCCTTAACTATTTGCTAGGCTTGATAGACTTATACTTTGCTTGCAAATAACTAACAATCTTGCCTGCTATGCATTTAATTTTACACTTGCATATTAGAAATAGATATTTAGGCAAACAAACAAATAGCTCTATAGTAGTTTAAATGCATATCTTAGCTAACTACTAAATAGTTACAACTATAGCTTTACACTACTATTTGCCTCTATTTACCCTAGACAACAGGCTAATGCATTGTTAGCCTCTATAACACTATACTAGCTTAGGTAATGCTAACAAACAAAACCTATAGCTTTTCCTACCTACAAGCATTTTACTAACTTAAAAATAGCACTAAAGATTTTGCCTGCATTTAAGCTTTATGCGCATACCGATTTTGTCAATTTTACTGCTAAAAATGTCTACAAGCTTTGCCTTCTGTTTCTTTACAAGCTCTGCCTCCTGTCTTCACTAGCGCCATTTTAAATTACATGACGTTTTCTTCAAGCACAGCCTATGCTTGTCGCTGTATTTAAAGGTAGGCTAGGTCTAAACCTTTCAAATGCATTAGCTAACTAATGCAGTCTAACTACCTATTTGGCTTAGCTTTCTTGTTGCCTGCTTTAATTAACTGCCTTTTTGACTTAAACTATGCTATCTAGATTGTATAGATTTGTGTTAACTGCTTCTCTAATGTTTCTGCATTTACCTTTGCTACTACTGCTAGCTTGCTGCCTTAGCTAACCTTAAATTAACTGCTTTTAAAGCCTAACTAGAAAAATCGCTAACAATGCATGCCTATTGTCTATAGCATAACTTACTCTTGCTTTACTCTTTTTACTACATTACTGCCTTTACTTTAATTATTTGCCTATCTGTAATCATTTTGGCAATGTCGCTGCATTTTTTTTACCTCTATGCTAACAAAGTTGCATTGGTTACACCTTAAACTAACAACTAGTAGCTTAATAAACAAGATAGGTAAGATAGTAAGTAGCAAGAACTTAAACTTTTTTAACTTATCCTAGGTTTTTGTAATGTCTAGGATTTGGCTTATCAATTCTGCAATCCTTAACTATTTGCTAGGCTTGATAGACTTATGCTTTGCTTGCAAATGACTAACAACCTTGCCTGCTATGCATTTGATTTTACACTTGCATATTAAAAACAGGTATTTAAGCAAACAAACAAATAGCTCTATAGTAGTTTAAATGCGTGTCTTAGCTAACTACTAAATAGTTACAATTATAGCCTTACACTACTATTTGCCTCTATTTACCCTAGACAACAGGCTAATGTGTTGTTAGCTTTTATAATGCTATACTAGCTTAGGTAATGCTAACAAACAAAACCTACAGCTTTTCTTACCTATAAGCATTTTACTAACTTGAAAATAGCACCAAAGATTTCGCCTGCATTTAAGCTTTATGCGCATACTGATTTTGTCAATATTACTGCTGAAAATGTTTACAAGCTTTGCCTTTTGTTTCTCTACAAGCTCTGCCCTCTGTCTTCACTAGCGCCATTTCAAATTACATGACGTTTTCTTTAAGCATAGCCTATGCTTGTCGCTGTATTTGGAGGTAGGCTCTTCTACCTTCCTATGCTACTTGTTTGCCTCTTTCTGCAAACACTTTTTGCATGCTTGCACTATAGCTAGCAGCGCCTTATATCTTCTATTGTCAATGCTATCTTTATTGTTACTGCTGCGCCTAGCTACAACCTAGTACTGCATATGCCTTTGTTAGCTAAATAACTATAGCGAGACAACTGTCTAGCCTAGCCTTCTTGCTAGCATATGACTTTTAACTGTCTAATGCGTTATTATATTCTTCTTATTGACTGTCAAATGCTAGCAGCTTGTGCAACTATAGCTCTTTAGACGCGGCAAGTCTTTAATTGGCATGCTACTATTATGCAGCAGCTTTATAGTTGCTAGATTGCTTAGATGCGTTGTTAACAATGCAAAAGACAATACTGCTTGTAGCTTTTTGCCCTTTAGCTTGTGCTAGTTGCAGAAATGCAACTTTATACTATTGCCTAGCTTGATACTTGCATTGCAAATTAACCAAAGCAGCATATTGCATAGCTTATATAGTTAGACAGTCTCTTTAAGCTGAAAAGTCTTGCAAGTCAATGCCATTTTGACCTGCCATCTACTATCTTTTGCTTGTATAGCAATAGTTGCCTCTTTTTGTTTTAATTGTCAATCTCTGCTACCCTAATCTAACCCTATGTCCTCCAAACCCCTGTTGAGAAAAATTTCGCCTAATCCTACTAGTTATTTGACGTGAAGGTTGTTTAGCGTGAATAGCCTGTGCACAGCTCTCCTTTCTATAGGGACCTGCGGTTGTTTAAGCTAAACAACCTGTCTAATAATGTTTAGGAGAATAATTTTAAGCTAATGTAAAGGTGATGCAGACGCTAAACGCAGCAATCTGCAAGACAGGCATAACAGGCGTTTCGTTCCACGACAAATCTCTGTCATCAAGTCTAGACAGACAAACAAACCAAGGTGGGACTAGGACAAGCATCTCCTCAAATTGCAAACTGTAATGATGCATAACCCTAGTCGTTAGGAAAAGGAGACGACGCCTTGATTCTTCAAGAGGTGTATCTTGTCTACTCCAAGCGGAAGTGCGGAATTGTAAAAATCGACTTGCGTTGCAGAAACTAGCGACTTACTCGCCTTGCGGGGTGGTGAGAAGGATGTCGAGGCAGTTGGAGCTGTCGCACCACCGGCCGTCATGTCTTACGATGGGTGATGGTGCCTAGGCTTCCCAGGGTCCAAAGGTGTTTGTTGGGGGCCGCGGCGATGGAGGGTTTCATTGCGCGGCCGCAGTCTAGCACATCAAAATTGGTATGAATCAATTGCCTTAAGTCGGGCGACATAGGATTCCCACGTGGCAAAGGACCCTATTTCACCTCCGCATATACCTCCAACGCATCATGCAACCGCCCGAAAAGTCCACCATGCCAACTTCTCACCTCCTCCCATTCGCTCTCTGGTAGAGTCGCGCGCATCATCCGCAGCCACCCACCGACGATCAAGTCAGCATAGCTAGCCCTTGTTCCGAGGAGAAAGGGCCCACTAGTGTCTCTCAAGAATAGCTTAGCCAGACCACCCAGCATATCCCGGAACGAATTCTTCGTCTTCTCTCGGTCCTCGCCAACCAATGCGAAGTCCTCCCAGCACGTAACACCCGCGCGCCGGACGAATTCCGCCTTACTAATCTCGGCAGTAGCTGGATCGAACGGAAAACCCTGAAGCGTGAGCTGTACATGTGCGGTGAAGGCCGCGTCGACGTTCACATTGAACTTGGCGTATTCAGGAAATTGACTCTCGCTACACTCCGATAGCGGTATAAGTGATGCAAGATCCTGCGTGAAGACATAGTCGAGCATCTGAGGCGGGAAAAGGTCGCCGGCGCCCGAGTTCGGATACGTCTTCTGTAGGTAGACTGCGATATCGAAGGAGTCGCCGACTAACGAACCAGTGGCGGGATCCTCGATGATAGGCAGGGTAAAGAAGTCGGTGCCATCGGCAAATTTGCGACAGGCTGGTACTTTGAGACTCCTGCGGACTTTTGCAACGTCGGGTAAAGCGACCCATGAGGTTGAGTACGGGAGACCTTTGAAGTTGAGTGCCAGTCGGGTTTTCCAGGGGTTTGGTGAGCAGCAGTTTTTCTCGACGGGGGGACGCATGGTGATGTCATAGAAGACCAGAGGCATGGATGGAATTGAGGTCGTCGACATGGCGGATGATGTAAATGTAATAGGAAGACAGACTTTTCGCTTATAGGCTAGGTATTGTGTCTTTGAAGAGGATCGTTGAAGAGGAAAATAGCGTGGCGCTTGAATAGAATGTACCAAAGTGGCTTATTTATCGTTTCACAGCCGACTTCCCCGCACTTAATTAATGTGGGGCAAATCCAAGTGATTCACGATGACTCATAGTGACTAGCAAAGGCTCCACACCGCCTGCATATTCTATTTTCGGTGACTTAATACGTAAGACACTAACATATGCATCACTCCCACGCTTGAGGCTGAAGCGGGGGCTTCGTGATTAGCTGATCTGCGTGATTAAGGTAAGCATTTTTGCCTGGTCGTTTAGCAGAAAACAATCAACCTGGAACTACTTACCCCGGCCCCAATAGCCAACTGCCGCTGCCCACACAGACAACTTCTTAATTGATAGAAATCATTTTTCCATTCCTCCTTCTCGTTGAGCGAGCTAAGTTTTAAACAAAAGCAATTACTTCCTGTAGCATACAGCGCCAATGCCTCTGATAATATCATCATTAGCTTTAAACTCGGTGCCAAGAGCGTCTCTCTCAACATTGCCCATGCCGCGGCGCAGCGAAGCCAGCTCCTCCATCTCGTCAGACCTTCGCCCAAACGCACCAATGCCGCCAGCTCCGCCCATGAGCAAGGCCATGATCTCCATGGGCGCGGAACTGGGGTCGTTGACGATGGCGTAGATGCTAAAGGCGCTGTTTCCAAAAACCCCAATTAAGTTCATGATGCGGCTAAGCGTCTGCAGCACAACATCAGCGGCCGCGCCCAGCCCCTCGCCGAGGAAGGGGATGATCATAAACACAGCGCCTAGAATCTCGAAGATTAGCTTCTTCCGGTCCGCGTTCTGCACTTCGGTGCCGATCACCACCACCTGCTGCATCGCCTGCGCCGCCTGGTAGGCCATCATCACCGGGAAAGCCATCACCGACGCGGCGTCGGCGTCAGTACCGTTCCACCAACCAGCCACCATGTCGGCTTGGACGGAGAACATGGTTTCTTGCAAGTTGGCGAAGCCTAAAGAGGCGTTGGTGAAGATGTCCTTGGGGTTGTCCACCGTGTAGCTAGCGGCTGGGATGGGGTAGCCGTAGGAGATCTTGTCCTCTGGAGGGCACTGGAAGTTATTTTCCACGGTGCATGTCAGCGGGTCGTCTCGCTTGCCAAACTGCACCCAGTCCTTGACGATGCCGAACGAACTCTCGATCTCGGCGAAGAAGCCGGTTTCATCGACCAGGGTGTAGTACAGATGGAAGCTCGGGTTTGAGTAGTAGTTGAGGCCGGGTGGCGGGCATGTCGTCGAGGAGCTGTTGCCGTGGCCATTGTCGCCGTTGTAGATACATGTGAAATACTTGTTGCATGCACCCGGGGCATCGGGGTTTGTCCAGTTCATGCAGTAGTCCAGCTGTGCGGGCACCAGCTCCTTGATGTATTCCACGTAGGCGTCGAACTTTTTATCGTAACCGTTGCCGCTGTCGGTGTAGCTGATTGTAGGGTGGGGGGAGCAATTAGCAATTTCTACACCGTGGCGCGGGGAAGGAGAGAAGGAGAGAAGGGGGGCCAAAGACTTACTTGTCTAGGGCCTCGCCGAGCATGTCACTTAGGACTCCCATCACGTACACGGGACCACACCCATACGGCATGTTTTTCTCATCATCCTGCACGGCTTGCAACGAGTCGTACGTCTTGGTGAAGTCGCAAGCCGGCACAGTCTCATCCTCATCAGAATCACCAGTACCCATTGAGACGGCGTCGAAGACGGAGATCTGCGACCAGGACGCGTCATTGTCAGATACCGCCAGGTTGTCGAGCGCGGGAATCCCCTTGCCGTCAGCCACAATGGACGTATTTGCGCCGATGGTGATGACCTGATCGAACCGGACGTTGTCGAAGTTGTTCTGTGTCAGGACTAGCGCCTGCTGGCAGCTGTGGAGGTCGACTGTGCAGTTGTAAGCTCCACTGATTATGATAATGATGTCCACCCACATCTCGCGGCTAGTTAAAGTAGAGAATCGTCACTTACTGCAGTCCTGGGTGTAGTCGGAGAACCACGAGTAGACGCCCATGCCTACGAAGCGCATGTTCTGACACCACCTCACCACGAAGGCCCATGACGAGTCGCACCCGTCGAATTCGCCTCTTCCGCAGACGTATTGGGATCCGAATCGAATACACCAAGCACGCTCTCGAACGGTGTAGGGGCTTTGGGACTGGGTTGGTAATATGAAGACTCTCTCTGTAGCAGCCCACCAAATACGTACTCTGCTCCGTAGAAATTGAACTGGTAAAGGGCTGCATGTTCGGACGCTGTGGCGTACGGCCATGTCGGATTGATGCTTTCGACAAGCATACCGCGTGCTGTGAAGACTGAGATTTGGGTCTACATTGGGTGTCAACAAAGAAGCTATCCCGGTGCTGGTTCCCTTAAAAACCCAAGGCGAGGAAGAACTCACCATTGGATTCTTGCCGTTGGTCGTATCAGGGTCACTTAGCACCAAGTTTGTCAGTTATACAAGAGGTCACATCGTCAGTCCAATAGCTGTCTCTCTCGGAGATGCGAGAGGGAACCAAGAAGGGAGAAGAGAGAGAGAGAGATAGCATACTCAACCATGTGGTCAGCAGTCCACAGCCACATATTCTCAAAATAACCAGACGAGTTTACGGTAAGGTGCATCATTAACGAAGCAGCCATGCAATCTGTATGTGCTGCGCCTTACAGGCGGCGCAATAGGTAGCATCTAGTCTTGTGCCTATTGCTCCACCAATGCGAGCGTGGCAGTCTATTTGGTGGCCGTTTGTTAGTGCTGTGGATGGGAGTTCAAGCTTGTTGTTTGTCTTGTTTGATTCCTTACCCCAAAGCGCAGCCGATCCCTGGCTGTCTGCTCTGATGTTCCACTCGACGAGGATGGCTCCCTGAGTTGGCCCAATGGTTGTGAATAGAAGATCCTGCATCTCCACCAACCCGACGTCGCCGTCGTTACCAACTCTTAGCATTGGTACCGGCTCGCTAGTCATGCCATAATTAGGTAGTTGGTTAGCGATTCCAGAAGATGCAGCGGACAGAGAACAAATAAACAAAATAGAGGGGCCGGGTGGCGGTCAGTCTCACCTGCCATCGTAAAATTTGGCGCCACTCGCAGCAAACTGGGTCCATGCCTCGCCGACAATCTTAGTCCCGGGTGGAATGGTTACCGTGTCGGTCAGTATGTAAATCCCCGCGTCAGCGAAGATGATCTTCCTGCCTGCGTTGTCGTCCAGAGCCGCCTGGACCGCCGCCGTATCGTCGGTGCTCCCGTCGCCTATGCAGAAAGAAAGCCCCGGTTAATATGGGAGGATGGGAAGAAAGCAAGAGAGGATGAAAAAGAAGATGAATATAAAACGCTTGCACAAACAGACATACCTTTCGCGCCGAGGTCCTTTAGATGGACGAAGTCGTCGGCCGTGTTGCTCTCGTATTGCTCCTTGGGCCTTTCGAAAAACGCCACGTTAGGCAGCTCACCAGTGACGTTAAGATTCAGGAGGTCGCCATTCCTAAGCGACATCTCAGATCCCCCTTCAACCCATGACCGGTCCGTACCGTTGTACATGGGCCCGAGGATGTAGCTCTGCACACTGCCGTCGTTCTCGGACCCCGCAAGGTACATATTCCCGTCCGTGTCAGCCACACCGTAGTCGACGGTGTTAAACTGGACATTGTCAAGCACGAGGCCCGTGGTGCCTGTGTTCGGGGCCTCGGACGCCGGGCCGATCACAATAGCCTTCTCCACATTGTTGAAGACAGTATCCATGACGAGGATGGAGCCGATGGGGCTGGACTCGGCGGACGGATCGAGCATGAACCCGACCGAGGAGTCAGTGATGGTGACGCTCTTCCAGGTCCAGCTCCAGTCCCAGATGATCTGCACGGCCGTGTCACAGCCTTTAAATGTCATCCTCTGCACCGTAAACTGCTAGTTTCCCCCGTCTGTGATGGAAGTTTTGTCAGAAAGCGGTAATGAGATTTTGTCTAAGGAGACAACAAGTTGGAGTTGGTAAGCAGCTTACAGAAACCAAATTTCCCACCGGTGAAAGTGACATCAGACATGAATCCTCCACTGCCATTTTCCGAGACTGCGTGACCTAATTAGCAAAGCAGAAGGCAACGAAACGGCTGCAACGTCAGCTTACACATTCCCTGTTGGGTGGTACCACTCTTGGCGATGAGCTCGACGTTCTGTATGCTGGTTGCTTGGGCGATCTGGTAGTGAATAGCGCAGACGGCGGCGTTGGGATCCGTGTCAGTGATGTCGACCTTGACGTTGCGGATCTGGCGATAGAAGCTGGCCGTGTTGATATACCACTCGTTATCCTTGCCGTCCGCACTAGCACCATCGCCGACGTAGACGTCGGTGCTTAAGACGCCGAGACCAACGAAGCTGGCGGCCGCCTTGATAGTCGGTATGTCTGTGGCCTGGAGTGATGGAGTTAATATTTTTCAAGGAAGGGAAAAAGCGAGAGGGGGAGAGAGAGAGAGGAAGAAGGAGAAAAAGGAGGAACTCACATCACCGATGAGTTGAGTGCCGAAGAGGACGGCGATGCTAGTCGACACCAGGTACTGGCCCGCCGGGAGGTAAACGATGGCGTTCTTGATGGTCGACCCGTTGCAGCCGACACCGCAACGATTGCCATCACCCATAGCCTTCAAGATGGCGGCCGTGTCATCCTGCAGACAAACAACGAGAGCGCGTCAGTCAGTCTATGCAATGGCGACGGCAACTACTATATTCTGAAGAGGGGGGATGTCAGAATCTTGAAATTACTTACCGTTCGACCGTCTCCCTTTGCACCGTAATCCTTGACATTTCGGAATATCTACAAACACCAAACAACAAAGCGTGCATTAGTAATTAAGCACCAATCCTAGGACAGAACAAAATATTGAGGACTTACCACATAGGTATCAGCGTTGTCGGCCCACAGGGAGGTTCCCTTCCGGGAGACATTCTCCATCCAGAAGGAGCTGCGCTTATTAACGCGTCTGGACTGCTTCCCCGACACCTGGGCATCGGCCTCGGCAACGAGAGCCGCCGCCGCCGCGATCTCATCAGTGATACGAAGTAGAGGCGGAGGCTTCGCTCCCGATACTGGGATTTCAGAGCGTTTGTCAATGTTGCGGTTGCCCACAATAGTTCCTGGTGCTAGGGAGTAACTTGATTTGGTCCGCTGTTAGGGAGAAAGGGAGAGAAGGGAGGAGAGGAGGGTGCTCGTCACGATTGGGACAATGCACCGGTTGCGACCAGGATTCTGCAGCCGGGCCTTATTCAAAACGGACGCCTTGGCAATGGCATCTCTGACAATCTTGCGGGCAGCTTCGATTTCGGCCTCGGTGGCTTTTGCCAAAGACGGAAAAGACTGGTCGGAGCTGGAATCATCTTTGTGTGTCAGGAGATGCAACGAATGAGTAGTGCCGCACTGGTGTGACGGGATGTGAGCGACAGCATGGAGAGCGAGACAAGCCTATAAAACAACAAGGGCGACGGCCTAGAAAGAACGTAGTGGCGCCATAACAGGCCTAAGTCTGAAGATAGATGGAAAAAGAGTGCAGCGAGACGACAAGTTCAAAGGAGAGATCTGAATGTCCGCTGAGGTTGGGGGACGCAGCTCGAATCAACAAGTAGACGCCAAGATACAACCAACCTTATATCAAGACTGACCCAAAGATACGGACGACTGGGAGAACCAGTGGCAGCATACTTCGCTTACAACCCCAACACAGGCCTTTAGCTCATAACTAACCATTCCATCAACGCTACCTTCATAATCCCATGTAGTATAGTTGATGACGGCTGCTAAAGCAATGCATACGCTGCATACGCTGCATACGCTGCATACGTTGCATGCGCCGCAGGGCTAGGCTTACGGTTCGATATTAGCATTGACTTCAACGCCAATTGCTCCGGGGAGCGCGGCTATTCATGCATCTCTGGTCTGATCCCCTTGCAGGCACGATCACGCATTTAATGAGCTCATTCTGGGTAATTGTCGCTCTCGGTAGCCAGCTATGATATCCTTCGCTGGACAAGCAGGGGGTAAAGCGAGGCACATGTTGAGTCCCAAGCTGGTCCGGCCTTGGGCCTTTGGGCTCACTCACTGTTAAGCCGCACATGTCTCATGATCCCCATTTTGCAATCGACAAGCTTGACTTCTTGTCACCACCAGACAGTAATCTGAAATTAATTGTCGGTTGTTTAGATCTCAGACATATTCCCCGTCGGCACCTTCGTTTTTGTTGGTTTCGCTTGGAGTCATGCATTCCAGCCTTTGTCTCTAGCCTCGCTAGCCGTGGTCGTGCTGGCAAACGTGAGCGCTTCGCCTTATGAAGCTCTCTACGGTGCGTTGCCTTAGCAACTGATGTGAAAGATGCAAAGTCGAAGCCTTGAGCTCAGCATGTCACACACCAGCCTACAATGCCTACCTCATGTCGCGAGCAGGCTTGGATTACCTTGCACTTTCAACGAGTTTGTCAAGGACATATTCTTTAAGGGTAAAACCCTTTTGATTTCCAATTCCAACGGCTACAACGGCGGCTTCGACTACGACAGATTCTTCACCCCGGACGCGACCGGCAGGGTGCCAACGGTAGACGACGCGGCTAGGTCACTGATAGGATACCCGTGGCCAGGGAGGTCGATGACCATGTACACACAGTTCCTGTACTATGGCGAAACCCCCCATGCCTATTACTCCTCGATAATGAAGAACGTAGGCGGCATGGTTCGAAAGTGCCGTCAAGCTGCGGACACAGCCGAGAAGGCAATCTCTGGCGGCGGCGCCTGCTTTCTTGACCAGGAAATCCTCGACCAGGCCAGGGCAAGCCGGAACGGCATAATTTAGGAGCGCATGGCTGACACGGGGGACATCGAGACGGAAGGAGGGGGGGGGGCGCCGCCGATATGGAAAACAAGTTTCGCGAGTTGAGAGGCAACATAGTAAAGGTATAGGTTCCAACACCGAGCGGGCAGTCGTATGACAAAATCAGGTGGACCGATACGCTTAACAAGGTGAATCGTGGCGGGAGGGTTCAGACGCCATCCAAAGTCCACGCGTAGACGGCTCAGTTGGCGACGTCGACCCGAAACTATCAGCTATCGGCACGTGGGAAAACTCATTCGAACTTCATTAGGATCGCGCAGACACAGTACAATCGTAATTCGGCGTGTCTTACGTATCTTGTGGTTGCGAGACGGTTTAGTCTAGGCGAGAGTGAAAAAGAGAGAGCACGACATGAAACAGACGTATTTTGTGCTATCATGGCAGTGTAACTTCATTCCTTGTACCTATTTGAAATAACTAACAGAGGTTGAAGGAATCGATTTCCATAACGATCTCTGCGTTGGAGTTGGACAGTTGCAACAATTAAGAATCTTAACCCGTATAGGAAATACCCTTATATTGGGGTATCTGCAAGGAGGCTAATTCAATTGGTTGCACCTCATTTCCAGCCTGTCTGGCCACCGCCAACCAACTGCACTGTTGCGAAACAGCCTTAATTACCCCTCGATTGTGCTTCTCCGTCCGCACCATCTCACCAGGCTCGGTGCCGAAATTCTGTTCTTCGCTTCGTTAGCAACCTTCGAAACCCCTTGTCAAAAGCATCTGTACAGCGTACTGCGCCGCAAAATATACGTCGCCTGCTACAGAGTATCGGCCCGTCAATTTTATCCAAAATTAACCCTTTTTACGTGACCGGGGCCCTTCATCTGCATCTGCATCTGCAACGTGACACCTGTGGTGGGGGAAGCGTGCACAATTTCAACTCCTGGCACAGTCGTTTTTCTCTCTCCCCGACAGATCTGGGGGCTGCTGCGTTACCTGTCCTGTTCTTCGGTATTATCCATCATCTTCCAGCGCCATGTCATCAGCAGACCAGCGGCGTGAAGGCTTCCACCTTGCACACGGCGAGAAGGATGGAGACGCAGGCCTCGAGTTTGACAACTCGGGCGGCGGCCCGCTCCGTGTGCCAGGATTCGGCGGCCTTCCCATCACGGCGCAGCGCACGCCAGCCGAGCGCTTCGCCCATGGATCCCACGATTGGGCCCAGCCGCGGCTCACGGCCCGAGAGATGGCCATGCTGCGGGTGATGAATCTCGTGACCGACACGCCCGATTGGCAAGCTACGGTGTTCGACGATGAGGCCGTTGCTGGGCTGCGTCCGGACCCACTGGTCCAGCCGCTCATCAGCGACGCCGCCTGGTCGTGGTGTGTTGCCGAGCTGCGCGACAAGGCCGAACACTTCAAGTCTGCCGGCTATGTCAGCGTCTTTGACTCGGGTTCATGCGTTGTCAAGTCCGACGCGCTCATCTCCCGCGACCTCCTGGAGAGGCTTGACGCCGAGGTCGATGTCCTCGCTTCCGAGACGCGCCACACGCAGCAGGCGTACCACCATTTACATCCAGATCCATCTCCACCTCCAAATCCACCAACGGAGTTTCCGACGCAGGACCTAGGCCTGAATGTAACTCCTATTCCCGGCGCGGGTGCGGAAGAAGCGCGTCATGCCGAGAATGTCCGAGACGAGGACGCAGCTAGTCCAGATATGCAGATGTTCTACGGCTCCCCCAATCTGGACTTTCGCAGTCTTGAGTCGTTACTAGGTAACCAGACAGAGAACCCACTGCCACTCGATCCCGAGGCCTGGCCGTGGGTCCTGACACTCATCGACCCGTCCATGTTCCCCTTGGTGTACGGCCGGACCAAGGTCTTATCAGACGGGGGCCAGGTGGGCCGCGAGGACGCCTTAAGCATGGTCGGGCAAGGAGAGACAGCGCCCGACGCTGCGCTTGGCCTCACTAGCCCGGAAGTACTGCTCAAGGATCCAAACTTATACGACCAGGTCTGGCGCGGGCCCAGAGGCGCCGCGCCATACCGCTGGTCCGGCCGCTTCCAGTGGCTGCCCTCCGAAGTCTCCTTTGCCGGTGGACCAGGAACGACAGACGTGCAAATCACGACATACATCAACAACTTGCATCCCGTCGTGCACAAACAGCTGTACTCAACGATAGAAGACATCATCTCGCTCTCGCTTGATCCGTGGAATGAGGTCCTGGTCTGGAGAGAGCGCTACCAAAATCCGCCGAGGATCCTCACCTTTGGAGTCTCGTGGTTCCCCCCATATCCCGAATGGGCATATCGCCTTGAAGCACTGGACATGGAAAAGCAGAGACAAGCCAACTTCATCAAGACACCAGGCGAATGGAGCGAACCTATCCCCGATACAGATATTGAGGCGTTCAACAGGGATTACCGAGACGCACGGGAGAAAGTCGTGGAGTTTCTGTCCCTCCCAGATCCCGTCTTCGACCATTACCACCCCCCGGGGGGACCACCCCCTGAATTGGGGAGGGGAAAGCTAAAGGATGTAGTGGATTGCCAATACAACCGCATAAAAACGACATGGTCTCATCCAGAACCCGGCGTCTCTTTCACGTACCCTGAGTGGAAGGCCGGACGAGCTGGCCGAGCCATCGTGCCCCCTAGACGAAGAAGCGGGTGGAGATGGAATGCCCAGCCCACCACTCTCCCCGATCACGAGTTCTACACTGTCTGTCTTCAGAATACCTTCCACCGGCAGGGTCTCCAGATAATTGTCAAATTGACGAGCATCGAGCTTACACCCGAGGAGCCAGTTTACACGTAAGTTAGAATCCCTCTCTGCCTTCCCTTGGTTCCCATTTCCCATTTCCTCAAATCCCACCCCAAGTTGAACCAATCCAAGCTAACCTATCCCCATCCTCTCCACAGACCAGGCCACAGCGACTGGTACCAAGACGGCATGTTAAACGAGCACATCGTCGCCACCACCCTCGTCTGCATCTCCAGCACCAACGCCCACCCCCCGGCCTTCTACCTCCAAGTCGAAGCCGACCTCCCGCCCGACAACTACCACTACCAGCGGGCCAACTCCTCCGAGCTAGCCCCCATCTTCGAGGTCCACGGTAGCCCCGGCCTCGGTGCCGACGGCGGCGGCAACCCCGCGGTCCAGTTCCTCGGCCGCGTGACCCTGCCGCCGGGCCGGCTGCTGACCATCCCGGCCGTCATCCAGCGGCAACACCTCCCCGTGGGGCTGGTCGACTCGTCCCGGCCGGGCCACGTGCGGGTGCTGGTTGTGCACCTGGTCGATCCGCACTACCGGGTGTGTTCGACGCGGAACGTGGCGCCGCAGCAGGCAGAGTGGTGGGCGCGGGATGGGGTGGAGAAGGTTGATTGGGCGGGGAGGGGAGTGCCGAGGGAGGTGGTGGATCAGATTGGGAGGGAGGCTGGGGTTGGGGAGTGGCCGATGGGGAGGGAGGAGGCGGAGGGGGTGAGGAGGGAGAGGATACTGGAGGAGGCGCTGGGGAGGCAGGCGGCGGAGGCGGGGGTGGATAGGTATAGGTTTGAGTGGGATTAACTAGCTGTGATCTTGAGCACAGGGCCCTACAGTTCGTCGATTTTAGGGTTTAATTGTTGGTTGTTACCAGTCAGTAGATCCTAGCTACCTAGGGGTCCGCAGTTTTCCATTACTGGCAAGATCCCATGGCGGTGACGCATTGTTGAGATCTAGGCCCCAGATGGCATCTAGATAGGCATTAACCCCGGCTGGAACATGGCATGGTCAAGGGCATATCCGCTGGTGCGAGACATAGGGCAGACTAGTAGGAAATCCTAGCAGATTGTCGTATAGGTTGGGCAAGATGACGTTGTTTGATATAGGTTTTGGAGGCAGCGATGGTGCCTGTCGCATCGCCATGATGTTCCTACATGCTATTTTGGAACATTTTTTGCGAACAAGCCAACCAGAGGTTGCGAATATAGGGTTTCCATAATCCCAGAGCACCGACCACCCCTGCGACATTTCCCGGTTCTAGTCGTAGTGCATATTTCAGTAGTGAAGATATGACTCATAAGTCCCAGCTGCCATTTCAAAGGGTCTCAACTTTCAGACGAGGAGAGGACGAATGGAAGTCGTGCCTTTAGGACGGCATTATGGGGCGTTTGTGAGTCGCGACACTGGGACTGGGACGGACACCACAAGTGGTAGGCTGAAGGACCGGGGCCGGGACGGGGAGATGGTGGGGACGGGGGTTGGCGCCGTTATCATGCCGCTCACATCCGCGTGAATGTGGAGGAGGATTATGGGAGGAAGGAGGTTGGGTACCGCTACTATAACCTGCACAGCAGGCCAAGAAAGCAGCTCCTGCTACAAAGCTTCACTGTTGCGGCGTGACATTGCAAAAGCAGCGTAGATGTTTACCTTGAAAGGAAGAAACGCCAAAGAAGAAGCACAAATCGTCGACGTCTTTCACACCACTTAATCACTCCTTATCCTGTTGATGGCACGTGTCTTGGCTCGATGGGTTAGACCGTGGTTCGTGCTCACCGCTAGCGAAGACCGATAATGATTCCCTGGCCCATGGTTAGATTTTTGAAGAAATCGATGCACGTTGAGAATTGATTCCCAACCCTCATATGTACATCCATTACGCCTTTCTGTAAGTCACAGGGTCACCCCTTGGGGAGAGTATACGCCTGTTTAGCACAGATCCCGTTCCAATACAGTTCAGGACGACGACAAAGACGTACAGCCACCCCGGGACAGCGGCAGTACTGAGGAAGGACGGAGCCGACAACTGCGGGGACACGGATCTATGTGGAGACCCTACAGAGGTGAGTCCAAATACTTTCGATGCCAGCCTTCTTGACATCAGCGCTGACAACATCGTAAGGATATTTAGAGATGCAAGTTATTCGTAGAGGTTCGGAAATTGAGGGTAATGGACAAGAATATTGATCCAGAGCCCTACAATTTGGCAACTCATGCCGGGGAAATGGCTGCTATCGATCAGATTCGTCTCCTAGAAGTGGGCCTCGGGCGCTCTTGGTCATCCCCGTTTCCCCGGGCCTGACAGCGGGGCCCCACTACCTTAGCAACACGGATGTCAAAGCAACACTCTCGAAAATTCCACGCTGTGCGGCCAGAGTGGATAAGTAGAGCGAGAGGATGGGTATCCTTGGAAGACCAAGTAGGCCCCTCTGGAGCTTGTGTCGGAGGAAGATACCCTCGCTAGCCCGTTTCTCCCTCGCTTTTCGGATTAGAATGTCGACTCTTTAGAGACAAGCCTGGTAATTGGGTATAAAGAAGCCAACAACTAAACCGGAAAGCAAGCAGAGCTAGACATACAAATGCACCTCAACCCGAAGCTAAAGCCTTGAGCCTTCTAGCAGTCGGGGTCTCGCTAAGGTATATCTCCAAAACCTTCTCCGCTAATGTCAAGCTGACAGTTTGGGACTTATCCGTATGCTCATCCTCCCACATTTTTTGATGCGCCAAGAGTGGTAGTTTCTTGTACTTCATGCGTGCGATTTGTTGTTGCATAATGCCGCCGAATTCGGGAAGGTGACCCGCAACCCACTTTCTTTCCGTCTCCGAGAGGTAAGCCATAGCCCTCATTTTCTGGGAAACAGTCTCGTTCATAAACACATCCCACTTCTCATCACCCATCTCAGCACGAAGTTCCGTCAGTGTTTTGCCACGCCTCTGAGACGGGACAGCTTTTTTGCCCTTGAATGGGAAGTTGCTTCGGATATATTCTTGGAGCTTCATGTTGCCGGTTTGCTCTGTCCTACGTTGCCATATTGTTAGCCTCCCAAGCTTTCCCATGCTTGGTTTATACGTACCATTTCCGACCATTCCAACGATAAATGCGAATAGGGATGTCCTCCTCCTTTTGACCTGGGGCCAAGTTGCCGGTGTCTAATAAGAAGGAAACCTTTTCACCATCCCCGGTTGGACAGCCCAGTAATGTGATGCAGTCCACATTGCTATCCATATCACGATGCCAATGATGCTGGCAGATGAGGTTCCCCATTGTTTTCACTCGCTCGCCACGCTCTCCGGGGATTCGGTGTGATTGACTCCGTACAGCAATGCGAATAGCCGCATCTGGAACCATGCCATCTCCTTTCGGTGGGTTGGCTTGACTAGGCGATTGTTGGGATTCCGTGTCGGGTGTCATTTCGCTAACAGACGGATCAGCGAGACTGCATCCTCATAAACAGGTACAGGTGGTCTTACAGATCTCTAACTTGCTTCTTCTTCTTCTTCTTCTCCTCCGTCTTCTTCAGATGACGGCTCGGCCGAACTTGGCGGAGTCATGTACTGGCACTCTGGGCACTTTCGATCTTCGTCTCGAGACTCGTGCTCTTGGTTTGGGTCAAAGTTAGGACAGCTTTCCTCTTCTTGTCCTGCAGTCCAGTCGTCGCAATGCTCGTAGCGTTCCTGAAACGCTTCACCTGATTTGATATGGCCGCACGTGTAATGATACCAGATCTCCCAGCACATTGTTGAGATTTGGGAGGTGAGAAGGAGAGCTGAAGGGCGCCGTTGAAAAGCGGGGTGATTAATGCTCACATGATTTGACCTGACGGGATTCACGTCACATGATGACATAACAATTATGGGCGAGAGGGACGCGGAGATCTCCGCAGGTTGACCCACTTAGGAACCAATGTAGTTAGACTCGTAGCTAAAGGAACATAGGATGTACGGTATGCCGTATCCTCATTTGGGTATGAAATTGAAAGCCTGCCCGAAAAGGAAAATAACGAAGGAAACTCCAACCGAGAGGGCGTTGAGAACAGCAGTTCCCGCACCCCTTCAACTCTCCTTCGATTCTGTGAGGAGGGCCTGTTTTGCTGCTAAAAGTAAATCCAACTACACTGCGGAGGTCTCCGCACTTCTGCTTGAGTATTGCATCCTATTTTTATTTTATTTTAATTTAGGTGGGGAGCCTTTTCGGCAATACCCTCAATATATTGCCGACCAAAGGTATATGGCCTGCAACCATATCGTGCAGTGTTACTTACACACCCACATCGGCGTTCCTTTCCAACCAGATATCTGTCATTGGGAAGCGCCTTCCCCTAGAGTGGCGGCTGCCTTAGACACAATTCTCGTGGCTGTGAAACCCCGTAAATATATCATCAGAGCATGAACAACGAAGCAGTAGCCCAGAAACGGCGAAGGTTCCTCAGCCCCGCTTGTAGACCTAGAATATGGCCTCTGCCACTTCTCTAAGGCATGTCCGAATACCTGAAGCGAGGCAAGATCGCAGCAGCTTCTCCCAGACAAGCCTGCTTCGGAGCCTGTGCTTCGATTTCCTCTCGCGCAGTCCCATTTCTTTCTACAGCGGGCGTCGCACAGAGAGACATAGGCACACCCTTAAGTTTGGCAGGGATGATATCATGGCCGCCCATGTCAGGGCTCCTGATTAGCTGCTCTAGCAGCGCGGACGATGAGACTGAGAGTCACATCGTGAAGGGTACGTATCCGTTCGGGGGGGTGTGCTCCACGCACCCCTATCCACCTTAGCTTCTTCCTCCTCGACGGGCTATCCGTGGGGGGTAGATGGAGCACGAGACGCGGCTGCGACACCGGCGCCAGATGGTGAACCTGATCTACGCGGCCGAGGAGGGGTCTGACGCGGAGAGCGACGGCAATGAGGTCGAGCGGAGGGCGCCCTAACAGCCGCCTCATCCCCTCCAACTAGTCAAACTAGCTCCCTAAACCGAGGTCCCCAGACTGCCGCGTCTGTCGACCTTATCGCCAACCCGCTGGTGGCCGTGCTGGTAGCTGCCATGCTACTACCCCACGATTTTATCTTCGGCAAGTTTGCCGTTGCCCTCGGACACCTTATCCCAGCCATCTGTTGCGATTGTTGTTGAGTTCATGTGTGACAGCCTGGTTGGGAAGGAGGAAAAGCGCGAGAGAAAGAAATTGCAGATGGACTTACAGCTAGAACACGGATCGATCTAACGGCAAAGAGGTTGACGCTGTCGTACATCGTGATTGCAGCTTAAAAAAAAACCCTTCAATGCCAGCCGTCATAGGTCCTTCCTCCTCAAACGTGGCCTGGCCGAGACAGACTGAGACAGAAGCAAGAATGACGATGAGATTAAACGACCGACCTTAATTGTGGCTTGTACTTTTCGTCACTGTCGTTGCTGTCATCGGTTGTCAGAAGACAGGCCATGACTTATGCCTGCACGACCGGATTCCGGCACCTCCGCCTTCCTGCCCATCCCCGAAACGCACGGAAAGGAAATGCAAAAGTCCCAAGGCAGAATAACAGAACAAAGTTTACAACTCTCTTTTCACGTCATGTCTTAAGCTACATGCAATTTTGCCTTTGAAGAAGGACATGAGTTTGGTAAGTTAACACATGGAAGAGGTGCTGGCACTCATAGGCCTAAAAAGAGCCAACGTAGATAGTTAATTATATGCTTCTAGCCTGTTTCCCAGTTCTCTCTTAAGCTAGCCGATACTAATCTGTGTACCCTGCCAATGTTAAGCTAAGTCCCAGCTAGAGCATGTGGGTTCCGTGGGTGGGAAGGAATACCCGATCAGAAGGAGTCGTCTAAGGGTTCCGATAAATAATTGGGTTGCACTGGAATATGGTTGCCTCAACCAAGGCACCCAAGAAGTAGGTGAAGAAGATGACAGCCGTTGCCACTGCATGTATAATTGAGCGCTAGCTGTTTAACCAGCCCCTTTTGTGTCAGCACAAGCTGCTGGAACCCAGGTTCGCCGCAAACGGTGCTCTAAATACTTGGCCAGGTTGGGTAACTTCGGCTTCCCCGCTGCCGCCATCCTTAAGCATCACCCATCACCCCTGTGTCCCGATTGCCTGCACTCCCATCCTAATCATGTGCCATAAGTCTGTTCATCACAGAGACCCGTCTCCGGACTCTGCACTGTCGCGTCTAGGCCCAAGGCTAGTTCAAAAGCTTGAACACCAGCACCTCGTGTCGCATGAATTGTCTAGTCCTGCCCACGACACCCCCACAGCAGTCCCAAACCACGACCACAACTACGGGACACATTGGTGGTAGATCGCCTGACAGGCTAGGAGCCTAAATTGCAATCTTCCCCTTGTGCAGAAGGCATGAGACAGCTAACAGTGACACACCACCAAGGATCCGTCGTCTCTGTTCCAGGTCTCGCCTTTGAACACAATAACCAAGCATAGCCTTAAAGACCCTCAAGGATTTTGACACGCTGACAAGCAAACGCCACGCCTTTCTTTGTCTAGAGCGCCATCAGTGGCAGACTAGGGCAACACGACGTTGCTCCCCGGTTTCCCATCTACTCTCGCCAAACTTTTGTCCTGTCAGACTGTTGCCTATCTGCCTCTTCCGCAGTTAGTCATTCAAGCCCAAAGTAAACAGTTTGACGTATCCACAGCTAGACGTCGTTCCCGCGAGGTGTCTGGGGTCGGGACCGTTTCGGGGAGATTATAGGGGATGGTTACGCCGTCGAGAACTGAACTCGGAACACGACCGGGAACGCTGGAGGCCCATGGACTTGCCAACTAAGAGAGTAGTTGACTCCCCCGTTTGATACCTAGTCGTCCTTTGTTACAGACAAGGGTCGCAATATCCTTGAGTGGCCATCCGCCTAGCACAACCATACAATTATCAACTCCAGCCCCTAGGTAGTCGTCTGCAACCATCCATGTCTCCGGACCTTCAGCTGCTCGTACCTCCTCTAGGAGGGTAACGAATCCGAATCGACGAGGGCACCCATCCCTGCAGACGTTGTTCGACAAGGCCGACTTGACCGTCCTGGTCGCCCTCCATCTCACCGGCAACAACTGGGCCTGTCTGCAGGTCCAAGTTGACAAAAAGGAGGCCCATTTGTTTGCCTCGATAGCATCAGACACCCACTCCGCCACAGTCCGACAACCTACCAAGAAGTTTGCCAAGACGTACGTGAAGCCTGGGTCTCAGCAGTGGTTTGACTAGACATTCCACATTCACAACTACCCGCAGCATCCCAACTCCTTTAACTTCGGCATCAACACTCTCGTCTTTGCGCTGTTCTTAACCTGTGACTAGCCAATCCCCAACGCCCTCAGCGCCAACGACATGGCCATGTGGCGCCGCATCTCCTCCTACTTAGTCCAGAGCACCAAGAGTGCCACCATCCATGCCCATGCCAGCTTCCTCCCTCTCCAGCCCCTTCACCACCCCCTCCAGCCTCCACAGCCTCAAGAACCTAGTTGCCCACGCCTGGGCAGCGGCGGATCACTCGGTCGAGACATACAAATTGACGCTGCAGCAGCATCCAGTAACGCGGTTCTCTCCTCTCCGGCCTGGCCTCCCTCCTCTCGAGTCTGATCTCAGATGGCGCTGAGCTGCGGCTTTGACTCATCGAGCAGACGGCCTTCTTCTGCAAGCAGGAGAAGTAGCTTCGGGGAATCACGGCGCGATTTGCCAAGCATCGGTCCCGGTCCCGGTTTTGAAGCATCTCGACGGCGCTATGAGGGCACTGACTTGCAGAGACAGAGTCTTGAGCTCTAAGGGGCGTTTGTTCCGGACTTGTATACCTGGTTTGCTGCGAGCACGCAGACGGCGCTAGACCAGTATGGGGTCATGATCGAGGATGTTTTGGGTAGAATTTCGAACGTATCCAGATCTAAGGGAGTCATAGCGGTGTTTGAAACTGAGTGCTGTTACCTTAACCTCCTGGAACTTTGCTTGGTGACTCTTATAACTATAATTAAGAAGCTGAAATAATAAATCCCCTGGGAGGTTTGATCATCTCCTATTTATAGTAAGTGGCAGCCTCAAAGATCTTAGTCTGTGCATAGAGACGTGGTAGCTCGGCCGTCGGGGTTGGTCCTCGGTGGACCATGTTCTAAAACGCTGCAGACTGAAGACTATCAGCCTGAGTCTAAGCTATTACCTACCGCCCCCTCGCTAGTGCTGCCCTTTTTCTTCCATTCTCTCTCAATCCTGCATTATGTACGCGATGTAAGTACAAGTATATCAAAACCCATGCCATATAGGGTTGAGGAACGCCTGACCAGTATTCACTCTTTCTAAGATCACTACGTGATTGGCAAGAACTCATAGCTCAAGCTCTGACAGAATGCTTCTCCATACGTGTTTCAAGACTGACTTGGACTTGGAGAGACCATTCCCCACCTCCCGCACCTTCACGGGTGTCCCTCTTCATCATCTCCAACAGATGGCTTCCGTAGAGCGGAGCCGCCTCCGTCATCCTCCACCCCAGGTCCCCATTGCCTGGGATCTTATCCTTCCCCGGGTTCTCAGTTCCCACTGCTAAGATACCGCGTCCCTGCGCATACCACAGGCGCGCCCCAGAGTCGCCACTTGGACCGGCGAGCTTGTCGGGTTGCCCGAATGGTGAGACGAGATCCCTCTCCTCCACAAGCCACACCCCACCGGTGGACAGAAACCCCAGCACTAGCTTCTCTGGCAGGTAGGACAGGGCACCGTGGGTATGGAAATGACATCGTGGCCTGTTCTTTCGTATTGATTCCTCTCAAAGGCTCCTCTACCATCTCGGCATCAAGCTTAAAGCGTCATGCAGGTGGTGCTTCAGGTGGCAGGTCCTCGGGGATCCAACAGAAGAAAATTACGTGTCTCGATTTCTCTTCTTTACTGCCACACTCTGCGTGCCTACCCCATGTATCTAACTTACCCTTGTCGAGCCACGAAGACCCTCACGGGCATTCGCCGAGCAGGACCAACAGCCGATGCCTGGTAACACGGATATTTCGAAATATTCGAGAAAATGGCCGTCCAGTCTCTAGTTACGTGAAAAGAAATGTCAGAGAAGGGTTATAAACGAGAGATCTTACTCAAATTCCATCCTTGAACACTTTTCAGGTCGGTATATACTCAGGCATTTTGCATAAATACCTGCACCGAGGGTGTTCAACTCTCTTACCCATTACCAGGGGTTATGCTTTTAAACACTTTCTGGCAAATAAGGCTTCATCCTCTTCCCAAAGCGTTGACCCTGCTATTGACTAGGTTGTTGGTAACCCAATGTCTACAGCCAAGGACAAGAATAAAGGGACAGGCGCTAACATCAAGGAATTCAAGCTGGTACATATTCAACCAATGCCTAAGCCGTCGACATCTCAAGTAAAATTCTAGATATCTGGTAAGATAGTTTGCAGATAGTTATTGCCTGCAACCTAGCAGGACAGCCAACCTCACCAACAGCCTCTTCCGTCTTCTCCTATAAGCTCCTCCTCTAGGGCATAATTAGCATCTTAGGCATCTAGTGGGTTGACCTGCAGCTTGGCGAGGTCAAGCGTAGCCACACTGCTCAAAGCTATCACATGGATTAACTTGATATTAGGTCATGCCCTGCAACCTCGAAGCTAACGCCCTGGTCTCGGTCGTCGTCGGCACTCTCACTGCGTTATCAGGTGCCGGGTTTGGCTTGCTCGTCATCCGCATCGTCCTCAATGTCATCCCGTAAATAGTCCCTGTCCTGGCTTTTCGGTGCCTCCTTCCCGTACGGAGACTACGCTGCAGCTGCGCCCCAGTCACACCAACACCCATCCCAAGCAGCCCCGACGGCCGCAGCGCCGCAAGCCCGGCCCGCGGGCTAATCTCTGCCATCCGCGCTGCCGACGCATTTCGCCGATGCTCATCTACACGATTATCAAGCAAGAGAAGCAGACATTGGCGCGGAGACTGGATCCGTAGAGCCGGTTATTACGGTTGTGTGACGTGCACATGCGCTTTTGCACCTCTCTCGCCCACGATAACCGGCATGCCAAGGACACAATCGCGCGCAACGACTTTGCTTGTCTGCGCCGCTGTGCGGTCCAAGCAGTGGCTTGCTATTGAGCGCAGGCTAGGCAAGGCCGCCGCCTTCTAGAAGGAGACGGTTTCCACGTGTTGCTCGTGCGGGGGGAGTGGGTTGGCCTTGCGGATCTGGTGGTTGTGTTAGCTCCGAAGTTGCAGATGGTTTGTCATTCCCATCTGTATCCCCTCTTCCTTGTCAACCTAGTAGTTACCCTATCTATTACACGCCTATGATAGCCTTAGAATCAGGCTGGGAAACTGAATGACATAAGTGTTGTATAATTGTTTCATGTCCCACCTCATTCATCGTTCTGTTTCGCAGCTCCACAACGTAGTTCCCATGAACAATGGCAAGTACTAACAACATGCACCATGGAGTGAAAATGATCATGCGTAGGCAGTAAACTAATAGTGATACAATCTTATTCCTAAAACCAAAGGTTGCCTGTCTATTGTGGTTAAACCTTGTGTTGAATCTTGAAGTATCTGGATTGGAAAACATGCAAGTTTGGTAGCGAATAGTAGGTTTAAGAAGCATGTGCCACCTTTCTTAACTATCTCTCCGATGTTATAACTTGGATGAGAGTCATTGCGACTCTACCACCCTCAACACGCTCATCACGTTCATGGAGAACACGTCTGAGTTCCTGGCTCGCGGATGGGGGTGTGTCTTCGTGGTGAATCTGGGGACGGCGGATTGTCCTGCTGATCCGGCGGATCTGGAGGCGTGAGGTGGGATGTGAGATATTCTGCTTGAGTGGATATGTGGGGATGGACAGATTGATATGTGGAGGTTTATACAAGCCGGGACATCTATTCGATAACCTATTACAACAACTAGGACGCTCTTGAGTCCAACTAGCACCTCAAACAAAAATGCATTTGTCGCGGACGACGCAGTCACCGACCCACGCAAGGTTGCGGAAGAGGCCCGAGTTCACGACCCTGTCGAGGAGGCCCGCTCGACAGAGCGGAGGCCATTGAGAATGGCGAGTTCCTCCGACGAGGTATTTGCTGGGGTCATCTTTTCGGCCACGGTAGGTGAATACTCCGCGACGTATCTCTCCTCCGTGGCTACGGTGGCGACGTGTGGTTTCCGCAGCTTGCTCCCGAGCACGTTCTCCTGTAAAAATACGGTCCTTGTGAGCTTTAACAACCAGCCGCGCCATTACGCTGTTTCCAAAGCCACGAATACAAAATGTGGCTCCAGAGATAGCCTAGTTTGGGGTTGTGCGGCCCGTCTCGTTCCCCATCTCGGGACAAAAACAGAGGCCCCTTGGACGGCATATTCCTTTCTCGAAATTGCCCTAGATGGGGCCAATAGCGGCAACCTGCTCGCTTGGCCGGGCGACAAGTCTTCCCGGCTGCTCTGGGAGTTATTTGGGTAATTGGAGGTGTGGGACTTCCAAGACTTCAGAACCACTCGGTGGCAACAATGATGACATCGTGTAGGCTCTCTCCCAGGTACCCTTACGTCAATAGGAGACATGAAGCCGCGATTTGAAGCCACACCTCCGCCTGGGACTTCTTCCCTGCCGAGTCGACGTTACCTGCACTACAAGTAGATCTGCAACTGCGGTATAGAGAGTCTGACAATGTCCATCCAACCGTCAGAATCTTGGGGGTTACTTTATCTCTACCGCGGAGCTCGCGAATGGTCGGCACAAGGTCAATGATTAGCAGATGGTCGCGGAGCTTGGGAAGGTCCTGTTGGAAGCGGATCTCCCAAGTTAGCAAGCCAACCAAGAACCTAGCTCTAGGGCCAGTCGGCTCCGTGTCGAGCAACTGCAACTTCGCCGTGTTTAACCGCGACTATGTCGACAGGTTTGAGGAGGATCGCATAACGCAAGACGAATGTGTCCGGCACCCAAGGCGTATATAAGAAGGAGAGGCATCTACCCCACGCAAATCCGGGGTTTCTAAACCTCTCTCTCCTTAAACCTAAGGCAGGGTCTCCTGTGAGAGTCTCATCCAGGACCACCGTTCCGGTAGCAGCCGAGCTCCGGGACCTCCTGGGCTCGACGCTTCGGAGTTAGCATAGGCTTTTATATATAGCCAGCCTATGCAGCTGACTAGATAGCTGCCATTTATGTATGCAGGTTCTTGACGCATGGAAATGAGTCTGTGAATAGTTTGATAGCAAGTATTTTGTCACCAAACAATTAAATAGCAAATCTTTTCGTACCAAATTGTTATTTTCTTGCGTCTCTCTTGGCAACATTTCTTCTAATCAGCTCTAGCTCATGGAGATGACGACCTGGTCATCGCCAAGGGGTTGGGCCAGAAGCGGTGTGACTACTTCGAGCCAGGTACCACACGCTCAACTCATCAACGGCAAGGCATCGCATTTCAAGGTAGAGATCAATATCCTCCGCAATCGAGGTCGCCGGCGAGCGTCGAGTTGGCAATCTCCAAGGCGACGACACGGCCGTTGTCGTTCTTCGGCACCGGCTGTGTCACACTGTGGCGCTTCTCGGGGCCATTTGACGCTCCCCATCGCACGACGAGGCTCGTTGAAGCTCCTCGCCACGTCACCCTGGTCCTGTCACAGGATTTGTAGTTCCCACCAACGATGAGGCGATCTTTGGAACAGGCCCTCCCTCGGCTGCATTCATTTCGTTTGGCTCGCTGCGGGCCTTCGTAGCCCTTGCACGTAATAGTCTCCTCCAACGGGGCTTGACCACCGCGCCGGTCCTCGTCCAGATCATCCGGCACATCTAGCTCTGGTCTCCGAGTTGGGCAATTCTCCCGTCGAGGTTTCTCCTGAGACTCTCATACCAACGCGGATATTGGATATCCTCCCTGTCCGAGAGACAGGTCTCCACCATTTTCCTAGTCTTGGATTTAACGTCCTACATCCTCTTACCTGACCCTTCGGCGAAAATAAGGTCACCAAGACATTGCATTAGTCAGGTTCCCTCAGCCTTCCAGAGGAAGTGTCCGACATAAGAGGGTATATCACGCCGCCGCACTGGTCTCTGCGACGGGATGATACACCTCGACCTCCCCATGGATTTTGAGGACTTTCAGTGTCTTCCACAACTCGCTGCCATCATTTGCCCCTCCCCTCTCGAACTTGACTGGATCAGGACCTGGCGCGCTTCGAGGTCCAGGAATCACGCTGATGCTTAAATCAACGAAACCCCTAGATTGCTGTAGGGTATGTCATGCGAGAACAGAGAAGCACTTTGCATTAGTTACCCAGAGCGTTGACTCTCTCTATGAAACCTCCCGTGTCATCCTTGTTATCTAATTCCAATCCATGTCTGAGGCATATATTCTGGGGGAATTTACTTGCCAAAGGACACTATTTAGCGCCGAGCTTTTGTGACGTTGAGCTCGATGAGTTTGCCAGGGGTTGCATTGGAGAACGTTGATAATATCACAGTCATTTGGTGCCGATTGGCGCAGCAAGGGAGAGCTGATGCCGCTAGAATTGGCGCTCTGCCGCGTCGGCGCATAAAAAGTAAGGATTTCGGCTTAAAAAGTTTTGTGTGAGTATTTCGCCTAAATGTGGCGCACATGCCTTTTTTTAGCTTTTTTAGGGGCTTGTGCGCCACGCCTGGTTTCGCCTCAGGGTGGCGCACACGGAACAGAGATACGCCGGCTGCGGTTTCGGGCCAAGCTCCGGGCACTGCATCTTTGGGGATAGCCCTGTTCGATTATGGAGATTGAGTGACCTGTCACGTTTGTCGGCCCGCTCTTTACCATGGACTCTCTTCGCAGTAGCCCACAGGGTTGCCGTCTAGGTATTCCAACGAAGTATCCATTAGGATCTTTGAGATGCACCTTCTTTCTCATCAATTGGCTGGATTACCGAGGTAGAACCTGCTGCACTATAACTGCCGAAACCGCCCCACCCTTTAACAAAGTGCGGGGTAAACAGCTCGCCATTGTGGAGAGTCTGTTTGGGGATTTAGCGACAAGAATGCGGGGAATGCAGATTCCTCGAGAGCTCCAAACGAGGAAATTAATTCGCGTGGATAATTACTCCCTCCCAAGATTCACCTCCCATCCCTTGTTATCATCTGCTCTCTTTGGATTCCTTTGCTGAATAGCCTGTATTAACAAGTTCACAAAACCAAATCAAAATATCGAAGTTCTTAACATGACCGACGGCAGCTCAAAGGTGAGCAAAAAGCCTCGCTCCAACCGGACTGCGATGAGCTGCGACCGCTGCAAGAGCAGGAAGACAAAGGTGCGTGTGCAGTCAAACGAGAACCAATGAGACCCCATCGCTAATGAAACCCCGCAGTGCAACAAGCCAAGTATACTCTTCCATGTTCCCCGACTGTCGTTTTGAGCTTGAATGGCTGACTCTTTTCCTGGAAGCCGATGGCCCTTGCGACTACTGCCGCAGAATCGATGAGCAGTGCTCGTTTGACATAACCAAACGTCGCCAGAAGCCATACTACTTCGTATCGGAGGAGGAATACCGTCTCCTATACCAAATCTGCAAGCAATTTCTGCCCGGCCAAGACTTGTCAGTTCCCAGTCTGCGGCGGTTGGCCTCTCAATCCGGTGAAGCAACTTCGCAAACCATAACCCCTACGCCCGCAGCAGCTCCTGATGCTGCGGCAGACGACTACTCTGAGGGTGTCCGGGATTCCGGGAGCGTCTCAGCAGAACGAGAGGATGTTCCACTGCCCGAGATTGTCAATCTCCATCAAGACCTAGGCTGCTTGCTGCGTGATGCACGTGGCGAACATAGTAAGCTTGTCTCTCGTCAAGTACCCCCATTGTTTGGCGCATAATTACTAATTAGCCGTCATTCCGTAGGGTATATGGGGGCCGAGTCTGGAATAACTTTCAACACTGCCGTGAGGTCTTGGCTTCTGAACTCGGCATCACGCGCAAACAAAGACATAATACCGCCAATGGTCAAGGTTGTCCACCCCGTGGCGAAATTCCAGCCGAAACCTGGGACGCAGACTTGGGAGCCGTCTGAGCTACCAGAAAAGGACGTCGTCTTGGCCTGTTCATCTCGCTTCTTCGAGGAAGTACATTCTCTGTACTGGCTCTACTCTTTAGAGGATTTTCACGCACGCCTGGAGGCCACTTACTCGGACGCCCATACGCAGCAGACAAGCTCCTGGCTCTGCTCACTGCACAGCATCGTCGCGCTTGGTGTGCTGTGTATACCCTTGGTCGACGGCTCGCCCAACGAACAGTTAGCACACTGCTCATTGGAGACAGCAAAGCTGCTTACTCTAAAAGCAATAGATGAGGCTGACCTTGACAGTGTGCGAGCTTTGATCCTGCTGGTAAGTACATGCATACATCGCATCGGCCCCTCACCCCGTCGCGGTCTCTGGTTTTGGCTTGGGGTCCTCTGCTAACGCTTTCACCCAGGCTCTAGCCCTCCAAGCAAATGGGTATACGAATTCCGCGTATCTGCACACCGGCATTGCAATCCGCATTGCATTTTCGCTCGGCCTGCATCTAGACAAGTACCCGACCAAGCACGGCCTCGTATCCAGGGAAAACGCACGTCGCCTCTGGTGGACGTTATTCCTCTTCGATCAAGACGTGTCTCTTCAAGTAGGCAAGCCTTGCATGGCTGGGTTGTCAACCGTTTGCCAATGGCAGCCATCTCTCCCATCAGAACAGGTAAGACCCCTGCATAAACTTGAACCATGTCCCAGCTTAGATCCTCACAAGCCTCCTCCTCCAGGTCGTGAGCCCCGGCTCGTACACACCCCAAGCTTATCTAGGACAATGCGTCAGCCTAGCTCGACTTACGAAAGACAATCGACACAAGCTCTACACCGGACCGATCCAAGCCGGCCAGAGATTAAGCCTATCCGATTTCGAAGACGCCATGCAGTCGCTGCAGAAGTGGCTGGACAACGTCCCGCCCCATCTCAGCACCACCGCGCCGGTGCCGCCTCTACACCGGAGACCAGTCGCCATGCTCCACCTCCGATACTGGAGCGCCGTGATTCTCGTCACGCGGCCGTTCCTCCTGTGCAGTCTCCTGCGTGCAAAGGAGTTGGACGGCACCCCGAAGCAGCGGCACTTTGACAGATTCGCCCGGATCTGCGTCTCGGCGGCCGAGGCGTCGCTGGGCATTTTCGAGGGCATGGCTCACGGGGTGCTTTCCAGCTTGGTTCTGGTTGACTTCTTCTTTGCGCTGCAGGTCCTGCAGGTGCTCATGGTGGCTTCTTCGTTGTCTTCGCCGTCGGTGAACTACCAGAACCTCGTCAGGAGGTGCGTCAACAGTTTGAAAACCATTGGGGCGTTCGGGTATCCGAAACACATGCTGCCCGAGCCGCTGTTCCAAGCGCAGAAGTTTGCTCTGTTGGATGGCGGTCGGGAAGGTGATCTGCCTTCTTCTCCGGGGCCGTTTTGTAGCCCTGCTACGACTGCGGTTGAGGGCGGGATGGAGACGGATTCGACGAGGTATTCGCTCTTATTCCTAGACCAGGCTTGGGGTCCCAGCTTTGCTTACTTATATGTGCAGGACGACTGAACTATACGATGAATACGCAAATCGGCACCCATTCTTGAGTGACTTCTATCTTTTCGATGGAGGTGATGAGTTTATGGAGCAGCTCATGGATATTTCTGTGACGTTCCCGACGGAGGCTTGACCGATCACATATGCATGTCCTGGAGTTGCATTAGCCTGATAGACCTGGGATAAGAAATCTCACATCGACTATGATAGGCCACTCGTTGCATAAGGTTTCATGCACCTATCTTACTAACCTTACAATCGAAGTCCTTAGAGTTGATTCAACGACAATCTGCTTTTCCTTTTAAGCATTTGCTGTGCCAAACCACAAGCACCTACTGATCGAATAAAAGAAGACGGATGGCATTCAAAGTGCACACATGACCCAGGATGGAAAAATGCGCAGCCAAGGTTGCATATTTGGATGGCACAACTCGACCGAGAGTAAGTCCCGATGCGAATCTATCCTGTGCTCATTGGGAGGAATGCGCACGTTAGGACCTGGGGTATTGCGGTCAGGAATGAATACAAGTACTACATCGGGAGACTATGCTGTAATTATCATACCATGTTTTCTGTGAAGCTTGGCGTTTGTCCAGGGAAACGTCCCGTAGTTCGCTTTCCTGAAGAGCCACAGCTTGGTGTACCGTGCCAAAAGGGCCGGGGATGCGTCGAAACAGAGTTCAATAGGAGATAGGGACAAAAGGTCACATATGAGCCCATTGCAAGCCCCAGATACGGTGAGTGAATCTCCGTGGTCATGTTTACTAGGACATCGGAGGAGGATGATGGTGTTGCTTGTCTTTTCGCCGATATCAGAAAGACAAGTCTCGTCCGTAACACCACGCTTAAAGGTAGGGAGGGCGCTTGCTTTACGCATCAATGGTGCCTAGACCCACAGGGATAAATGTGCCGATGCTTCGGTTTAATGACTCCGACCCTTCCTTCGCTGTGGTTTGGGACCCCAGATTTCACTATTGGTTCCCCGCATCGTTTACCGATCGATTGGGGTCGGCTCGGAGAGACGGCATTGCTGTAAGAACAAGACTAGCTAGACTACAATTTACCAACATACAAATAGTAGCTATTCAGAGCAACGAGCTTATTGTCAAGGGGGCCATTGAACAAATATCAACGAGGGCCCGGGCACTAGAAAGCGACGGAGGGGCCGCACTAATGCGAGGTCTTGCGGGGTTTGTAACCAGGGGCAGATTACTTCAACCTCACTGTTGGAGATGCGAAGAGAAGAGAGGGGTGGGGGGAGGGTACAGAAACAGCATCCCCGCCTGGAGATAGGCGAGACGGAGTTTGGGAGTAGTCGACACAGGGACAGGACAACAATACTATCATCTTATTCAAGGTTGACGTTTAACAAGGTCGAGTATCACTTGAGGATTACTTGCAAGCTGGGAATTACTTCAATTGCAATATTGTCGGCATAGTAGAAGAATACTACATGAGAATCTATCAAACGGACCAGTCAGTAATGGTCCTTGCCGGCAGTGCAGTGCTCGCCGGCTGGCGCCACTTCGGTGCCTGCATGTCCTCCTCCGCCACATGCTCCCCAGTAACAGGATGCGGGTAGTGGAAAGGCACCACCCTCGTGTCCGGCCACAGCATCTCCCCCTCGCATAGCTCATCGGGCCCCCCCTGATTCGCCGGGTAGACCTCTTCGAACAGAGGCACAAACTCCTGTGCGTGCTTCCAACCCTCCTCGAAATTGCCGTGCCAGAACGGATAATACCGAAGCCGGAAGATCTTCCAGACGCCGTCCTCCTTGATGAACTCGTTCTCGTAGACGCCTCCTTCCCACCATTGACGATGGCCACCGGGGTACTCGGCGGGCAGGCTCTTGTGGGTGCCGGCACTCATCAGGGTTCGACCGCGATATTTGACAATGTTTGTGCCGGGCTGGAAATCTACAACGTCCTGCGCGATGAGATGGTCGAGAAGCCAGCCCTCGATTGGGCCGTTTCGTCCGCCGACGAAATAATTCGACCAACGCCCAATGTAGAGTCGACGGATCGATTCCTTGCCTCGGAAGCGCCCGTTCAAGAACTGCACGTAGGCATCGGGATGGTTTGAGAAGAGATCTGTCACCTAATCAACACCGTATCTGGGTTAGCAAATTCCATTACTAGTCACGCCAAGACCGACGGAGAAGTTGATTCGTACCTCTTTATACAAGCATTTGTCCAGGTAATATCCGTATATGTTCTGTAATTTTCGCACCTCCGATTCCGCTGAGGAGAAGAACCATTATTAGTCAAGCGGCATGCTGCTGCGACACAAATCTGCTTACCTGAGAGCTTTTCAAGCGCAGCTTCCAAGGTCTCAACCCTCTTGGCAAGAATCTCAGTGGCCATGGTGCAGCTAATAAGGCGGGGAAAGACTGGATGGATGGAGGGTGATTAACTCAAATGCTTGACAGTGGCATATCGCTTTTAACGAGCCAGAAGTTTGACATGTTTTATACCTCAGAGCATCGCTGAGATCGGCCTTCGGCCTTGACCCCATGCCAAGCCGAGCATTCCGATGCATGCACCACAGAGGGGTCTCGTCGGATCCATAGCTCCGACGAACAAGCCCAAAGCAACACCTCCCCCACCCAATCTAACCCAAAACCAGAGTAGCGTTCCCCGCCAGTGGTCGGCTAGCAATGCGGCAGTTCCATCTTTGCCCCTTATTAGTGCGGGTCAAAACCTGGGGTAGTGAGGCTGAACGACGTTGGAGTCATGTCCAAGCAAACCAGCCACCACTTCCCCAACGCCCCCGAGGAAGTATAACTATTCCGTCTTCACTGCCCATCCCTTGAGGGGTCAATAATCCTCCTCGCACCTTTCCCTCTTCCCCTCCCGTCTTTCCAACGCGCCGCCTAATTACCCACCAGACGGCAACGATGGCATCGCAAGTTTCCATCAAAGCCCAACTCCGCTCCATCTGGAGCGAGAAGCGAGTCGTTGGAATCTGCTTGTTCATTGCTCTGGCTCAATTCCAATATGGATATGACTCCGCCGCGGTGTCGGGGTTCCAATCCATGCCGGGATTTCTGGCCGTCTTTGGTTATGCCGATGTAAGCAACTGCCGTCATTGCGACCGATTGTTACCCAGATTGACTAGTCCTCGAATCACTTGATGCATTGATCGATGCTGAGTTACTGACCTTTGCCACACGTCTAGCCTCTCAACCCCATCGGATACAACATCAGCACAAAAGTGCAGACCCTGATCCAGAGTTTGATCAACCTCGGCGCCCTGACAGCGTGCTTCGTAATCTTCAAGTTCGGCAGCTTTATCAGCCCACGCACCGGCCTGTGGCTGGCCTCGGCCGTGTCCGTCGTCTCCGTCGCCGTGCAGATGGGCAGCGTGCACGTCGGCGCCCTCTACGTCGGTCGCCTACTACTCGGATTCTCAAATGGCTTCTACAGCACCTACGCGGCGATCTACATGGGCGAGTCGGCGCCGGCATATCTCCGAGGCCCCGTCATCGGCATGGTCGTGTTGCAAATCTCCCTCGGGGCACTGATAGGCATCCTCGTCGACAATTACACCAAAGTCCATCTCGGCCGGATAGCATACCAGATCCCCCTCGCAGTCATGCTCGCCATCCCGGTGATGATGTCCACCGGTCTGCTCTTCCTCCCCGAGACGCCTCGCTACTACATCTCCAAAGGCCAAGACGACAAAGCCGCAGCCGCCATCCGCAAGCTACGCGGCGTAACCGACGCCGCCCAACTCAGCGAAGACGTCGCAATCATGAAGGCAGCCTGGCTGGCCGAGACGGAGACGCACGCCTCCGTCCTCCTACTCGACGCCTTCCGCGGCACCGACCTCCGACGAACCCTCCTCAGCGTCGCGGCCGGCGTCGGCCAGACCGCCACGGGCATGATCTTCATCTCGGCCTTCTCCGTGTACTTCTTCGTGCAGGCGCGCATCGGCAACCCGTTCGTGTGGGTCATGGTGTCGCTGGGCATCGCGCTGACGGGCAACATGCTTTCGTTCCCGGCGCTGCGCTTCTTCGACCGCCGACACCTGCTCGTCGGCGCGTCGGTCGTCAACTCGGCCGTCATGTTCGGTATGGCCATTGTCTACACCGTGTCCACCGTGGGGTCGCCGGGCGCGAGCAAGGCCCTGGTGGGTTTGAGCATGGTCTTTCCCTGGGTGTATGGCCTTGGCCAGGGCCCGGTGTTGTGGGCTCTTCAGACGGAGATGCCGTCGCAGAGACTGCGGTCGCATACGGTTGGTCTGTCCCAGGGGGCAAATTTCGTGTTTGCATGGCTGAGCTCGTACTGCACGCCTTATTTTATCAACCCTGAGTCTCTTAACTGGGGACCGAAGTACTGTTACATCTGGGGCGCGGGCAATTTCATCCTGGCCGTGTTTGTCTTCTTCTTTGTTCCCGAGACGAGAGGAAGAGGCTTGGAGCAGCTTGACGAGTTGTTCGAGAAGAAGGTGCCCGCTTGGAAGTTTGCTGGGTACGTTACCGACCTTCAGCAAGCCGATGCGGACGGTTATGTTGGGGGGAAGGACATGAAGGAGGACACGGAGGCATCTCACCGCGAGTAGTGTGGTAGACAGCTTAGCTGTCGTTGTTTTATTGGAAGCGCGAAGGGGCAGAGGGCTTGTCCATGGGGTCTACCTGCGGCATCTCCGGCCGTGGCGCAACCGCGTCTTCTCCTGGGAACTGAAGCGCGTATCAAACTAGCCGTCTGAGAGAAACTACACAGCTTTCTTTATCAGTTGTACGACTTATCACATGTGAATATGCATAAACGTGCATGATGCTTGTCAAAATCCCCGACGAATTTACTCATGCTTGCGGATTATTGGAGGATAAAGTCGGAGGGAATAGGGGGGTTTCAAGTAAACCATTTGAGAGGAATCGATCAGTGGTATTTTTATTTTGATACGACGCGTTGCCATGAAGTTGAACCAACTTTCTCCATGGAAAAGAGCCCAGTCGCGATAAAGGTGGCACCAATCAATTAATTGCACGCAATTGATCTAGTCAGTGGAAAGAGTATTACCAAGCTGTCAATATAGGTATCATGCTAATCCTTCCAACCTCTCTCTTCCTTTGCACCTGTCTCCAAATAACAGTCCTCCACCATGCCTGCACTACTCAAATCAGATCGTGGGGCGTCTGCACAAGATTTCCCGACATTACTGAATGAATGTCTTGATGCAACCTTGAGTAGAGAGAGGTATTTCTTCGGGTGCATATCTCCGACGCTGACACTAGGCTAGGTGCTGGCAAGTTCCCGTGCTGGGGTTGCTGTACTAGCGCGCGGAGGTCAGAGCCTAGTACAGGCGCTAGCAGGGCGGATATAGCCTACAACCCCGCATGCTACCACTATGCATGCCCAGCCACCATTTTCGGACGGGGAAAGCGACCGGAGAGCCTTTTGTCGGCGAAATGCTTCCGAAACACCGCTTTCCCCTATTCCCCTCCGTTAGCTCGGCACTTGCTCAAACAACATGGCCAGATCATTGCCAGGTATCCTAGCTTGCTTTAATTACTGAGGACTTTCATTTTCTGAGCTTTAGCTAATTAACCCCTTGCTGAATGTCAGAGGCCATAAAAAGTCAAGTTGGAGCTCGCTTCGGTGCCAACTGTCTCACCATTCGTTGCTACACTCGCTTGTGCCTGCTCCTTCATTCGCTTTGATCCCAGGATCGATCCCACCTTTGAGACGATCAACGTGGCTCACATATTTGACATCGCCCCTCTCGTTGATGGTCCCCCCCCTCGTTGATGGTCCCCCCCTCGTTGATGGTCCCCCCCCTCGTTGATGCCCCGTACGTCAATAGACTCAAAGGCTGGCGACCAGGTAAAATATCCCGACACGGGCGCTTTCCAAGTCTTCAACACGCCATGTCGCTTGGAGGGGGACATCTTTGATCTCGAAATAGATGGCAAAACCCCCCCACCCCCCCCCGAGATCAACGGAACTTTCTACCGAGTACAGCCAGACCACCACCTCCCACCAGCTTTCGAGGACGACATCCATTTCAATGGAGACGGCAACATCACTGCCATCGCATCTAAGGTAGGCACGTCAATTATAAGCAGCGTTATGTCAGGTCTTACAGGTTCCTTGCAGAGATAGCGGTGAGGAAGAGCTTGTTCGGAAGATACAGAAACCCTTTTAAAGACCCCGAAGCGGTCAAAGGGGTGATCTGAGCAGCAGCAAACATCAGCATCACCTTTTGGAGACGGGTGCTCCTGGCCTCCAAGGAAGACGGCCCCCCATACGCCATGGATCCCGTGACGCTGGAGACAATTGTCAGGTATGATTTTGAGGGCCAAGTCCGGTCCCCTACCTTTACTGCTCACCCGAAATTCGACCCCGAGACTGGCGAAATTCTTTGCTTCGGCTACGAGGCCGGTGGTGACGGGCAAGACGGGTCTTGCGGTATTGTTGTGTACACATGGTACAAAGCACTATTCTGCGGCATGGTTCATGACTGTGGCATCTCCAAGAATTATGCTGTTCTCCCCATGACTCTCCTAAAGTGCTTGCTTGACTGGCTGAAAAATGGAGGCGAGGCATGGGATCCGGATGCGCACAAGCCTCTTTTTAGAGGCTTGTGCGCCACACTCACTTGGTTGATACGTTTACGCATTGTTTACGAGTACGTTGAGCTTTCTGCTTGTAATCTTGGCGATCTCTAATATCTTTGACCTCTAGAGAACGCGTATACTTCTAATTGACGACGGCTTTGCGCACGAGGAACTTAATGGTAAAAGGGGGCTAGAGTTTCCCACGAGAGCTAGGGGGGGCCTTGCAAGTCCTGTGGATACACAAGTCAAGCCTAGCATTGTGTAGGACGCAAACGGAGAATTTTCGCGCATTAACGACCGCTGCGTCACCAAGAAAAACAAGCACTTTTGGCAAGCCACGGTCGACGGCGCCCAAGAGTACAACGCGGCAGGATGTGGCTCGCCGGCTGGGGGGCTCTTCAACTGCATCGGAAATTACACGTGGGACAAGTGAAAGGAGGACATATTCTAGGCCAGGCTGCAAGGGACATTCTAAGAGCCGACGTTCATACCCAAGGGGGATGGTGCTGCTGAGGGGGGCCTGGCTGACCGCGCTGCTGAACCACCTTGACGTCTTGCGCAACAACGTCGTAATCCTCGACGCCTTCAAGGTTGCCGCTGGGCTCGCCGCCACGATCTATCTTCCGGTGAAGCTGTGTCTCGGGCTGCATGGGAACTTTGTCTACTACGTGAAATTGACGCCTGGCAATCGCGAAGATCTCTTGGGAGGGACCTGGGTCTTATTGAGCATGCGCAGAAACCTCTGGGGTGGCAAGTGGAGGCATTGAAGGCGCAGGAAACCTCAAGGTGATGCTCTTGAGTCGTAAAAAGTAGCAGCTATCCTACTACGACTCCTGTAGTCTCAGTACTAAAAGTTGTAGCCTGCGTACACGCTCTAGTCCCCTGAAGGTCATATCCTTACTGTTTTCAGTGACTGTAAGCAAGAACCACCCAAGTATTGTCACGAAATAAACGAGTTAAGCAAGCAGGGGTTAGAAGATGTAATTTTATTGCCTCAGTATGAATTGTAATCTTCTTTCCTCCTCGCTAGGTCCTTCTATTCTTTCCACCCTCTCCACCTCCGCTTTTCCCTCTATCTTCTTGATGTTTATTTATATACGGCAAGCAAACGAACAATGGCGGCCTTTAACGAGGTATTGTCTCAAAGTAGGTCGCGTTGTTGGTTTCTGCGGTTCAATTTAATTCAAGGGACGTTGTAAGCAAGAGAGCGGCTGCTCTGTAATTACCCTCTCCTAACCTGCCATTGGTAACGCAGCCTCCTTCCATGAGTATTGCTTGTGATGAGGTTCACGTTGTGCCGGACGGCGCTTGGGGTTGTTGCTGATGTTTCTGGAATAAGTCGCATTGGAAGTTGCCCTTCTCGCATATTCCGGTCGTTGGTCGTGCTCCACCACAAGGGTATTGAGACCAATCTTGGTCCAGACGACAAGCCATCCCCTTTCACTGCGTGAGAAGATAGACAACGCCGGGCAGTTGGCTCCCCTCTGCAACATTACCACAGGCAAGATTGACTAGGCAGAGTATGTGAACACCAAGGGCGTGCACGACAGCAAGATCTGCGCGCTGCTAGAAGACATTGTTGCTGAAGTGGATGGCTCTTCCCTGTCCCGGCAGCCGTTAGCCAAGAGGACTGGCAGTCTGAAGCTGCATCTCAACAGTCTTCTTCCATGCAGGCTCTCCCTTCCCTAGTGCTGTTGCACCCTCTTGACCTGGGAGCTCCACGCGCCTCTTGCCCTCAAATACGTTCTGCGGTGTCTTCATCACCATCGGCGACTCCTCATCCGCCGCGCCCTCCATACCAACCACCACCCTCTCCACACGGTGTTTGTCGTGTTGAACCGTGCCGGTAGTCTCGTACCATCAGGCATCTGGATTTGTCCGACTTCCTAGTTGCCCTAGACTAGATGTTCAAGCTTAGACAATCCTCACTCTGCAGAGCGTTGGCGGCCGATGCGAAATAGGATATAATCCGCTGTGCCTGGGGCGTCATGTTAGGATATCCACCGGCTTCGCCATTATAGACTGTCATCTGCAGCAGACTCGGGCCCCTAGCCCTTGTAAGCAGCGTCCACGCTGTACCTGTGCTGTCGGAGGCGCAGACGACCGTCTACTTGGAGCCGACGGCCACGCCATCCGTCGTGTCGCAAGCAAATCTCACCTCACATGGGCTGTACAAGGGACCGTCGCCGACAACAGCTGGCGGTCTCTCGGACACCGCCTTCACTTCCTCCATCCCGGTCCGGATGCTGCACTGTGACTAGCGGGCACCGTATACGCCGAGCCGTGGTATTGGAACCAACGGATCGGCCTCCATTTACCGCGTCCAGAACGACTTTATCTGGCAGTTGCTGGCCCTGGCCCTCTCAGAGCAGTGGGTCGAGTTGGACTTAGGGAAGTAGCGAGCTCTACGACTAATATGTTGACAGACTGGATATAATTACATTCACTAGAGGAATTGGAAGTTCACGGCTTTTTCTATAAGCACCTTATGGCTAAAGGAGTTTAAGAGCAAACAATCCCTCGATCCGCTGGCGCTTGCAAAGGACAGCCAGATCATGCAGCAGATGATTGGGGTGACAGATACGTAAATAGAACGTGTGTCTTGCTTGAGAACTGTGAATGCAGAGTTTCTGGGTGCTTATACTAATTTGGATGCCGCACTAGCCCTTATTCCATTCGTACATATCCATTCGGTTCAACAATTTTTCCACTTACAGTGTACGGATCTGTACTGGTCTATCGGACAGGGGGGTGGGGCGAAAGCCACAGCGTAAGCTCGGCGTATGGATTGAGCCGAGTCCCTTCGAAGCACTGACCTGCACGACAATCCGCAGAAAGCGATCCCGTAGATTCATCCCTCTACATCCCTCACAGCGACAACCCCAACCAAGAGTCGCCTACCTCAATTAGATCCCCACATCTTCCCACAAAGCGAACCCCAACAAGCCACATCCCACACCATGTCCACTCCAGCAACACTCCCAGGCGGCAAAGTCCACTCACTGCCCTCCGACCTCGCCGCGGCACTCACCGCCGACGAGACGGCCAAGGCGGCCTGGCTCGACATCACGGTGCTGGCACGCAACGAGTTCATCTGCTGGGTCGACGCGGCCAAGCAGCAGCAGACCCGCGAGCGCAGGATCCGCCGCGCCGTCGAGGAGCTCAACGACGGCTTGCGCCGGCCGTGCTGCTGGCCTGGGTGTCCGCACCGCGAGCGGGATGGGAAATAGGCACATCGTGATATCGGCATTGCGGTAACTGCGCTCTGGCATGGCGGCACCGCGCCTTAACCAACCCCGTTTCGGAAACCAGAAGAGCTTGTCGACGGCCGAGATGGTTTGCAGGGTCCAGATTAACCGACATGCCCCGGGGCTCGTCAGTCAGCAGATGGATGGGCTAGACGTGGTGGTTGTGTTAGCATGGCATCTCGGAGCCCTTGAGGAATGATACAATCTGTCTAGTACAGCATAACACCAGCAAGTATTCCTTCGCATACACGTTTATCCCTAGCACTAGCGACATAAATCATCAACGTCATGATTACCTATGCTGCAAAATTGCACTATAATGAGACCAACATAGGCTACATATGCCTTCCTTCCCAGCAAGTATCCCATGTCCTTTCTTATTGTTACCTCTGTCTGCCGCTTTCTTCCATCTGTCATCTTGTTGTTGTCTACCACAAACAGTCTACCAATTTCCACTAGCCATCGCAGAGTCAGTCGTATGCAATGTGTTCCTCGTAGAGAGGCCCTAATGTGTGAAGCTCCTTGCATGTTTGGAACAGCGCGAAGAAATCAGCTGCGCCCAAGTAAATGCAGCTTTTTCTTCCTCCTTGATATCAATCAAGCAAATAGGCATACATCTATATGCTCTAAATATCACATAAACCAGCAGACTTTCTCACTGCTTACAACCCTCCCTCCCTTTTATACGCCAGGCCCTAGGGTTATGTCTTAAAAGCTTGGTCATCACCCCAAACTTATGACTTGAGAACTTAGTCATCAACCTCAACTTGCACCCTCGACTTATATCTTGAGAGCTTATGTCACAACCCCTAACTAGAGATGCCGCTGATAATTAGGTTTTCAAGCTATAGCTCACACCATTTTATTCCTCAGTGCTGCCGTATTGTGGCAATCCAACGTTGTAGTCTTAGTGTCCTAGAGAGATAATTCATTAACCATGGGACATTAGTGAATTGCTACGAATGGAATGGCTTACAAGCTTTGGGCTAACTTCCAGGTCTTGCAGGTCCTCCTCATTGGCAACACCGTCAAGGGACTACTAGAGTTCAACCGGAAGTAGGAACAGGCAAGGATACTGCTCGGTTCCATTAAAAGGTAAGCAACAAGAAGTTTCTCTTTCTTTAGCTTCAAACAGAGGTAGGCAGGTTGACAGGAAATACTACCCCAATCTGCTAATTTTCAATTTCTTATCTCTTTCCACTTCGTCCACCAAACAATATCGTCCATCATCATGCAGTCAAACTGCGCAAGACTAGCGCTGCACCTCGGAAGCGATGGACCTAACAAGGCCAGGTTGAAATGGTAGCAGCCAGCTGCAGCATTGGTCTTACTTACACCTGCTCTTGAGCAATTTCTCTGTCGCGTCAGTCCTACGCAGAAGTACAGTAACGGGCTGTCGCCTCTGCTATTAACAAATCCAACTTGAGTCCTCCGAGTGGTTGATTTGATATGCCGGCTAGTTCTTACCAGTATAGTCTTAGACAATGGTCCTCCTAGCCAGCATTGAGATCTCCAACACAATGATGCGCTCCTGTCACACCTTTAACGCCTGTGCCCAAAGCAGTCGTGAACATGGGGGTGATCCTCGACGAGGACTCGTCTGTGTCGTAGGCGTTGATCAAGTGTCTGCTGCTGCTGCTGCTCCTGCCTCTATTTAACAAGAGGATGTTTCGCATGAGATTTGCTCAGGCGAAGATTTTTCAACCAGTCTTCCCCGCCAGTTGCTCATAACAATAGGCCGTTCCGCAAGTAGGCGTCTGCGCTGGTTTATATTAGCGGGACAGGTGATTGTACCAAAGATTATGATGCACAAAGCACTTGTAATTACATCCCAGAGTAGTATTTCCCCGCTGCCAGCGTATGCCCCTTCTTTATCGTGAGCTTCGTCCACTCTTCCTTCTTAGGCGTGTCCTGGTAGATGTCTAGGTACCTCTACTAGACTGTGATTAAAGCCCCTAACTCAGTGTCCGCTATTCTAGGCGGATATTCCAGGCCATAATGTGGTTAAATTCTAGGCCTGGTGCGCGGCTGTCGGCGTCTTACCCGGCCGTGACCGTTTTCCAACAGCGCTCGCTCTGGTTTTTTGTTATTTCATTCAGGCTGATGACTACGCCTAGTTGTGCTTGTATTCGTCGGATAGCTCGACGAATTCCTGTCATTCAGGTCTACTGGCACATACTGTAACATCCTACTACTTAATTAGTTGGCCTGCCTGTTAAGCCCGAAGGCTCTGGGCTTGCGATGCCGCGCGTTAAGGATATCGGCGTGTGAACCGCTTTCGTAGTAGGCATTCGCCACGTTCCACCTCCGCAATCAAACCACGTCGTCTCACATGGCTGGCCATGGTTTCTTTGGGTTGAAGAAGGGGTCTAGCGATGGAGAAACTCCACCCAACTGCCCTCTCGTCCCCTAATTAGAACAACCTGCCTTGATAATATCATTCCCATCGCTGTCCTGCGTCGCATCATGTTCGCAGAGACAGCTAGTGACCGTCAGCATGGAGAACTAAAAGACCTACCACCGCCTACCTTGTCGGGCCTGAGACTTCGCACGGAATGGGCATCATCACACACTATAAACCAGACTCGGCTTTGGTTTTCATGTCACTGAGAGTTGATGGTTTATATTTTATCTGTCTTCAAACCACGACAAGATACTTCAAGTCCTATATATATATATATGGACCCAGTCTAAGACGAGGACCAGACGTACTCCAAAGAAGTAAACCTCTAATCAATTGACTGCTAATCTCCCCTTAAACTCCTTTTGACCTTGGACTATCGACCAGCCGTCCTTTCTGCACAAGGCCATCACCCCCTCTTCTCTAGTTCTTCCTCAAGCTCCAGGAGTCTGGCTTAGATCGTTGCAAGTCGGGCAGGTCGACCCATAGCGGTGGAATTTGACACGCTCGAGACAGGTGTAGCAGCGCCACCATGTGGCCCCGTTGCGATCCTTGGGCCCCTCAGGCGATGCCGATTTGGTGCCCTTCTTGGGAAGCTCCTCCTTGTGGAAGTCGCGAAGGTGATCCCGCAGGTGGTCGAACCTGTTGAGAGGCTCCTCATGGCGAAGGCACTTCTTGTAGTCGCAGAAGAAAGTCTCCTTCTCCTCGTCACGGTTGTGCACTGACTTGTAGTGCCGGTCGAGGTCTGCCACACGCGAGAAGGGCTTGGAGGGGCAGTCTGGCGCCAGGCACACATACTTTCGGCTGTCGCTAGAACCGCTGCCGGACTTGGAGGTGGACATGTCCCGGCAGAGAACGCTTTAGTCAGAGTTGTTAGCCTAGTGTTGGGTATGTTTGGTAAACGGGAAGGGGTTGGACAACACCAAAGAGAAACTTGCTTGGTAACGTCTTGGAGTTGGTAAAGTCGCTGCTAGTCTCGCTGGTTACCTTAAGGCAAGTTGGAATTGTCGAGTTCTTCTCAGTGAAGGAGAAAAGGGGTTAAGTATTGGGGAAAGCATGTCCCCTATATTAGAAGGGTAGGAGATTTTATAAGACTGAAATGCAAAGAGCCGCCTTTTTGTGAAGGCTTTTTACCATCAACATCTTAGACAACATGCATGTTCATAAGGCTCTGCAAAGTTGTAGTACAGCTAACTTAAATTTGCTGTATTTTGCTAATTTTAGTTGGTAGTTCTTACACGTGAAAAGGGCGGCAAGGCGGTAAGGATGCACATTGGCGACATGTACTCAAACTTAACGCTGCGCGGGGTATAAACAGTGCGAATCTGATGGCTGATCTATCACATCTCTCTTCTGTCACCATGCTTGAAGAGAACTCTCTAGTGATCCATCCGGCTCTCTCCCCGACGCCCCTGCACAAGGAACACATCCCTGCACGAGGGACTCACACAGGAATGCTCACACATTTGGACAAACCTCGGACTGATTAGCGTGTAGCTAAATCTAGCTTCCGCGACAGCTGCTTTGGAAAGCCCCTGGTTCAAGCAGGGGATCTACACCTCCACTAGGGTAATAAACGTCAGCTCGAAACCTGAACGTCACAAGACCCGCTCGCGAACAAGCAGGATCTATTGGCTGGATCCGAAGAACAAGCTTTGGTAATTTAGTCGTGACTTCATTGACTGTGAGGATCTCTCTGTATTGAAAGTCCTAGCGCTAGTTTCCAATTTAGTTAGGGGTGGCGTCACAGGTCTCGAGCTAACGTTTATCACCCTGGTACATATAAGGCTAGTTCCATCTCTGGAACCCACCCCCTCTGCCTTATATACCGGGGCGTAAAGTGGACACCTTCGCCAAATCTCGTACATTAGCGTAAACCATCTTGCCCACATCAACCAAAACTAGCCAGAGGCTCCTGCGTGCGTGCATCACGCTGGTCGACATTTCGCTACGTGGGGCAATCTCCGCGGACCATCGTGAACCCTCGACCACACCGCTTCAACGGCATCAGCCATTAAATCCCATGCAGCCTTGGGCATAGTTGTGTCGTCTCCAAGTCGATAGCTGTAGCCCACGCCACCTGACCCAGCCCTAGCCTAGCCTAGTCCCAGACCAGAACTTCGGCCATTAGGGAGCTGTGGACACGTCTGCAGCCATATGCAATCTGTTCTAGCCAAGGCACAGTCCTTATTGCGTCTCTAGCTGCACACAAGACGCTGCCGTGATACACCTTCTCATCGCAGTTATTCATTCACAGTCTCTTGGTAGGATCAGAATAGACTATGCAGTTACCTCCCCCAGCTTCTTCTAAAACTAGTTCGACACTTGGGTAAGAGTGATTGTGTTTTTATGGTTAACAACAATGCACAGTTTCTTGTAATTCGATATGGTGAACAAGTTAGTGCTGTTTTTCGGCGAGATCCATCGCATAACTGTAACAAATACAGCATGAAGAAACCTGGTCAAGCTCTCCTTCATCGCTAGCAAGCAAGGCATATGTGAGGGAACCGCGATTGGCCAATAGGCAGGGTAGTTGGCCAATCGGAAGGCTAGTTATGCTTACCTTACTTCCAAAATCACTTCAAATTACTTCAAATCACTTCAAATTACTTCAAATCACTTCAAATTACTTCAGATCACTTCAAATTACTTCAAATCACTTAAAATTACTTCAGATCACTTCAAATTACTTTGGATCACTGCAGACTACTTCAGATCACTTCCAATTACTTCAAGTCACTTTGACTTGCTTATTAGCATCCTTAAATATAACAGCCCTGACATCTAAGACTTCTCCTCTTACCAATAAGGCTCCAGTCGCTTTACTTGAGAACAAGCTTTAGCAATTCTCTGACGACTATTTCCAGCTCTATGCCAAGCACGTAGCTGATCTACTACTGATATCGCCCCTGTTCTTCATTCACACCGATTTGCCCATGTCCATACTGATGGCTAGCGTCTCTCGATCAGAAAATACGGACATCTGTTCTGTGCTCAATGGACAGACAGTCTCCAGGACAATGTGACTTTCTGCTTTCCTCCAATTAGCCTAGGGTGCTGACTTGTCGTTCTCTAGCCCAAAGTTCATACGCAGACGAGAAAGGAGTTCAATCCTTTAAGAGAGGACTAAAAATGGATAGAAATTGCAAGATGAGGTTGAAGGGCCTAAATTCAGCGGAGAAGAGAGATGATGGAGGATAAATGACAACTCTAGAGGCTTGAATTTACCGGCCGCATTCTAGAGCCTCTCATCTAGGAGCGTTTTTGCAAACATCGACTAAAAGTAGGTTAGACCATCTTCTTCCAAGACAAACTTTATCTTAATGTCAAAGTGGCCAGTCTCTGAAAGAGGTGGGAACTATGCCAGATGTTCATCGAGATGCAAGAAGAGATAGCAAGAAGTCTAGTTCTCGTTGTGGATTTTCACTGCAGTATCATGGATTCTATTCGTCTAGCGTCTACTCAGGTCTGTGGAACTTGCCGTTGAAGTGGCTCTGGCTCTGGAGGACTGATCGGCAACTTTGAAACCAGTCTTTGAGTCTAATGATCAGATCAATCCCCGGGACATAAGTCTTTTGTAGGATGCAAAACCCCAACCTTAGGTCGCTAACGCTACCTCGCGAAGGTGACACTGCTGTCGACGAAAATCCTGTTCAACGACCAGACGGCCGAGCACTAGAAGGATTCGTCAGCCTCGGAAGGCACCGAGTCTACTTTGCGACGATGTCCTCACACCGACCTGCTCAGCACACTTTCGCCATCTCTGCCAACTTGCCGTACCTGCAGAGGTGGCAAGGAGGACAATGGCGAAATCGAAATTGTCAAATGCCTACTTCACATTTCCAATCTCGTCATCCCTATAGTTGACTTAGACGCCGCCCATATAAGAAAGACATCTAGTGGATTTTGGGTCCCGTGATTACTAAGGACACTCCGTGAGTTAAGTCCAGCCTTATGCCTGTCGCAGTTCTGGACTCCTTTTCCTGTCATCTCTGGCAGCTAGCTTAACTCTGTGGAAGTGACTTTCCCTTTCCCTGCTATCGAAGGACCTCTAATTTCTAATCCGGAGGTTGAGAAAAACCTCCACCGGCGTGCTTGGCAGTAAGACACATCAAAATCATTGGCCCAAGTGTGGAAAGAGCCTGTTACTGTGCAGCCAGTTCTTCCAACCGGTCCTTCCAACTGGCCTAGGACACGCGGCGCATCCCCGTGGTCTGCACTTCGGAAGCGCATACCCGGACCGTTGCTGTGGACGACACACACTAACCCACACACAAAATGACAACTGGGTCTAACCCAGACATTGCAGCCCTTCTCGACGCCGCCGAAGACACTCTAGGATAGTGTGTCTGCAGCCTCAACCTGCCCGCAACGGTGATGTTCGAGGACGGCATGGCAGCCATCGGGCCTCCGTAATTACCAGCAGCTCTGCAACAACACCATTGACGAGATCTCCAAACATGAACACTTTCCTCAAGATAAATGCATGATATTAATGCTGTTGGTTCCCCCACGCCCATGCAGCCGAGATACCACGCTTGCATCATCAGGTCGCTCGCTAAACAAGGAAGTTACGGAAAAGGAAGGGATGCGCCCGGCATCTGCCCCGCTGCCGCGTTGTTGCCGCACCGCCCTGCCTTTTCCCAGTGGGACGGTCCGTCCGCCACAACGTCCTTGGGAAGCCAGGCACACGCCACGCCTCTGCCCCACGGCTAGCACGGCGCCTACTCAAGTGCTGATCTGTCCTTATATGCCTGCTTGTCTCAGCAGTTCCGCCCTCGTTCGGCTAACGCTAACAAGCAAGTAATCAAGAATCTTATTGTAGCCAGCCCAACAGAGCCACTAAGCGCGAGATGGTTGAGTCGAACAACAACAAGATGCTGCGAGTCGCCTAGCTTACTAAAGAGTTGGTGTGGTCTTCCTCGCAGTTGGCAATGGGCGGTGGGTATGTTTGACCAAGTGAGCAGTTGAGGGAGTCCATGGCCGGCGATCTGGTGAGGTTGAGGATGGAATGCAGAGACAGTCGAGAAGTGCATGCGAAGGTCTCGGCAGAATGAATTGACGGAGGGAACAGCGGGTTGGAGCCATTACGCGGCAGTGGCTGCCATGCTCCTGGTGGCAGCCTGCTGGGCGACATCGGCGTGGTATTCCCTGTCCTGCATAGGCTGTGCCTGGAGGAAAGTAAGGCGGTCACCAAAGATATGCAGATCAGCGCTCGGTTCAGCAATCAGACACTCGATGCAGTAGTCGAAGGGTTACCCCTTACATTACCAGGAGGTGTAGCAACTGCCTAACCCCGCGTGCTTTTCCAAGATCCGGGTCTGTATGCCGCCTAGCGGCGCATACTTCCGTCAACCTAGAGATGTAATTAAAGCCAGGTGCATAATATAATGTACGGGGGAATCTGAGATGCGGACTAAGTATAGCGGACACAGATTTGACTTCTTACCTATCAACTGGCCTTAGAGACAGGCACTACGGTGTCGGTGGCGATGTCATCTTAGCGGAACCTCGTGGTGGAGGATGTCTTTCAAGTTTTGGGTAGGGATCTCGTCACAGGAGACAAAAGATTGCCGAAATGCCTAATCGTCATAATCCCATTGGAAAATCGGCCGAGGGATTTGTCCCAGGCCAAGGCAAGGCAGTCTACAAAGGCGTGGCGTTTTCTAACCTATAGGAGATGGAAGGAGAAATCGACTGCCAATGACAAGCATTTGCAAGCGAAAAACCAAAGGACCTGGCAAGAAGAAACCTGAGGCATTTTTGCATGCAAATATTTGTGAGGCTGGGGGGATTGGGCATCAAAAGCGGGGAAGCAGTCTTGAGTTCTTTCTTTGTAACAACTCCTACGCTATATTGGCATTGCTTTGTAATTTCGGCATCGCATGCGACGACATTCAATATGCCGCAGCCCAAAGAGGATAAGGCGCTATCCAGGCGTTTTTTCCGAAGGTCCAAACGCTCCGACGCTGATTCTCAAATCGACGCCTCCAAATCTGGTTCGAGCGATGGCCGTGACAGCAGAGTAGGGAGTCAAGTCGCGGTGGTGGATGCGATAACAGTCGTGGCGGTGCGATCAATTCCCCTTGCCTTGAGCGATGTTCTTTTTTGGCTGACATGAGCAATTTATCAACAGGCTCCACAGTCCTTGCCCAACACGAAGCCAAATGCGTCGACGAGCACGGAGACTGTTTACCCGTTTAAATTCTGGGAAGCTGCATACCAGGAAATCCTCAACGATAAGGACGACAAAACACAGAAAGATTGTCGGGGCCTATGATATCCTACTCGATCGCATGGCTCGGCAAGGGGCTGGAGAGGCGGAAGACAATTGGGAATTGCAGATGACGGATATCGCCGACGATGAGGACGGCCGTTTGGATTTCGAGTCTCCTGGTGGCGGTGGTGACACCACTGTGAAGCGCCGAGTAGGATGCGAAGAAGAAATGAGGGCCATCGCCGTTGCGAAACTCGGAGAGATGCAGCGGAAAGAATGGGTCATGCAGTGGAACGGCCACGTTTTCAAGATTCGGGAACAAGTCACCCGAATCGTCAGGATCATGCAGCATGTGTCCAGTCTTGCCAGTCAAGCAGCTTCTACCAACCCTCAGGCCGGGCTTGCCTTGGCGGGAGTCTGCGTCCTTCTACCGGTAAGAGAATAATTATGCCCATGCTCTCGCACAAACGCGATCGAATTGGCATTGCTGACCTTTGGCTGTAATTACTTAGCTCATCGTCAACGATACAGACGAACGACAGGCCGCCATCGACGGGGTCGAACACGTTACCCGAATTGTGGCAAGATTCCGGACCGTGGAGGACGACTATGTCTCAGGTCGGTACGGGAAGAATGAACATTTCGAGAGAGCGCTGGTGGCTCTGTACCGCAGAGTCGCCTTCTTTTACATGAAGGCCGCCTGCTATTTTGCCAGATCAACGCCATTTCGGTCAATTCGAGGTCTCGTGGCTGCAGATGAGTGGAAACCCACTCTCGACTCGGTCAAGGTGACCGAGACCGAATGCCACAGCTTCGTAGCCACGCTGGGATGGTCCAAGTCACTCGAGAAAGTCGACAAAGTGCTAGAGGACTTGTCAAGAGTGGAGTTCAAAGACCTCATCAAGGACATAGAGAACTGGCTGATACCCAATATCAACGTCGAAGGACAGCACCATGCAAAGCAGCCGAAGCTGGCTTCCGGATACGATAAGGCTGGCAGTTGGCTGCTAGATATGCCCGAGTTCAAATCGTGGGAGGGAGAAGAAGATGCCGGACAGTTCTGGATTAGTGGAGCCGTCGGCACTGGAAAGTCCTCCCTGGTCGCCATCATAGTGGACCGCATCCGAAGGATGCAGCAAGAGAACGTCGCCTTCTTCTACTGCATCGTGGACACCCCCGGCACGACGGAACATGACGTGGTAGTCACGCGAATTCTCCGCGGGCTCTTGGGACAACTAGCCATGTCACAGGATAGGAAGAGAATTGCGGAGGAGATCGAAGTCGCCTTCGACCAGTCAGCAAAGCCAGGAGCGCTGGGGCGAGTGCCTCTTAGCTTGGATGCTGCGAAAGTCTTGCTAGTCAAGATTATCAATACTCGACGTAGCACCACCATCATCATCGACGGCTTAGACGAGGTCCCAGACTCCCGTCATCTTCTCCTGGTCTTGAAGGACATCGACAAGAAGGTGGACGCAAAAAGACTACGGCTACTTCTCGCGAGCCAGAGCGTGGTTCCGATAAGCGACTACTTTCCGTTGGCGAAGGTGGTAGTTGCAGGAGGGCAAAGCAGCATGACCGACATGAAATCCTTCATTGGCAGACGAGTTCAGCAGTTCAACAAAGACCGCCCAAACATTCTGAGCTCAGGGCTTTCCGAGGATATTGTGGAAACTCTATCCACGAAGGCTGAGGGAATGTTAGTCTACAAACTTGATCACATTCAAAGGATAATATCACCGCTCTAACAATCTAATTACTTTATAGGTTCAAGTGGGCAGAGCTGTCCCTCAAGCAAGTTCTCGACCATGACAATACATCCACCGAGATTGCTGAACATTGGAAGTCGGTGAAGGAACAGGAGTTCCGTGGACTGCTTGTTGACCTCGTCCGAACCTACGATGTTATCTACAAGAAAAGCTTGCCTTTCGGGGATCAGCGACATATGGTCCAGCGTGCCGCCCAACGAGCTCTTTTATGGGTTCTCGGCGCAGAGCGAGGCTTGAGACGAAAGGAATACCTCGCACTGCAAAAAGGCGAAACGAACGAAGCATCGGCAGCGAAGACTGACAAAATCTGCCAGAACTTTATTCATCTCTCTGAAGACGGAGAAATTGCCGCCTCGCATTCGTCTGTCTGGGACTACATCAGTCTCAAAGTCACGGACCAGGTCGACAAGTTCGTCAATTTCGCCGAGAGCGAGAACAATCCCGACGCGATCCGAGAAATCATCCTCGTAGAGGCAAAGCTGACCGCGGCGTATAAGGCAGAGGAGCAATCGCGAAGGATTGTCTGAAGATCATCATCGATAGCGATGGCTCGTCATCAGGCGACGAACCCGAGGATCAGCTCTCGGAGAAATCCCCGAACCCGCTGCTGCATTACGCTTGCCATCATTGGCCCAACCATTTGGGGCCCTGTATCAGGAGCGGGAGGGACTCGAGCAATCTACTGAAGCAGGCAGTGGCCCTTTTCGATCCAACCAACGTCAACGCCCTCCGGCGATGGATTGAGGTCTACGACCCGGACTGGGACTCCCAGAACATGAGCAAACTCAAGCCTCCCGATCCCTTATATTACGCTGTGTGGACTGAGGGTGACGATATTGTTCGGTTCGTTCTCGACAACTCGGAAAGCTCATCTTGGACAGGCGGTCCTCTTGGGAAGGCCCTCCAGCTAGCATGCTACCTGGGAAAGACATCGACGGTGCGCGAAATCCTGAGGAAAGTCAGCGTCAACGAAGCAGACGATGTACTTGGAACACCACTGCACGCGGCAACTGCTGGGCAGCAGAGAGAGGTCGTAGACCTTTTGATAAACGAATACGAGGCCAACGTCAACGCCTCTAGCGCCGCCTTTGGGAACGCCGTGCAGATAGCGCTAGCACTGAGGGACCAGGGTCTTCTGGAATCGCTCGTTAATCATGGGGCTCAATACAACCCTACCGATTGCCGAGGGATGATTTGGGCCAATGTCTGGCGTCAGATTCGAGAGTCAGGATGGTCGGAACCAAATAAATTGCTCCGTAAGTGGGTGAAGGATATAACCACTATTCCACAACTGCCAACAGCCTTAGACTCGCGTTTGCAGATCCTTCACACCTGCATCGTCTATCAACACAGAGCCGCCAAGCAAATCGGTCGTGAAGAACCAGCATCACCGCCCAACCCGGAAGCCGCTACATTAATGGATCGGTTATCGGTTGTCACCAAGCATATCTGTACAGCCGATCTAAGTACCAGTGGCTACATTCCCATAGTGCTCACATGGGTGCTTCTCTTCCGATTAATGGAGTTTAGTCAACTCAACAACTCCATCGAGGTTTACGAGATAGTCCACCGACACGAAATCTTCATCCAGGAATTCGGAGAGTCCCTTCAGGATAATCCAACCCTACACGCAGTTTTGACCCAATTATTCGCCCTTGCGGTTCGGGTTTTGACTACCACTGCGATCCGTATCATGTACTATCCTGATGCACCTGTGCACATCAGTCTCAGTGGGCTTAAGGGACTCAGTATAGAAGCGGAAGCGCTCGAAGAGAGCGCAAAAGAAACTGCGGCGAAGCGACTACTCTCTCTCCACAATGAGCGCACATTGTCCGCAATGAACAAAATGGCAAACGACATTTCAGAGATGAAACAACAAATCAGCCAACTTGTCGGTGCCGTGCAAATGCTTGTGGCTCTTCAGCGGAAATCCGACGATACAGGTATATTTGTTCCTCATCCCCCCCCTCCATTCCCAGTCTCTCAGCGTTATTAACCAAGTCGCAAGCAGGCTCCAAACCCGATGAGTAGCGGTAATTACTTAAACCTAGCTACAACTTCCTCTCTACTAACAACACCCCGCAGCTTCTCCCAAAGAACAACTCCTGACATCGCAGACGCACAAGCATACTGGCAACATGATTCGTCGTAGAAGGAATCCCAAAGCGGGACCATGGTCAGCGATGTTGCGTTGTTTCTGCCCCCCGCATAACGTACTCGCAGGATAATTACAGCGCGGATAGGAGAAAGATAGGAAGCTTACAGATAGGAATTTGGCAGGTAGCGTGGAATTTCTGTAACCCGACATTCCTTAGCAACAGCGGCGAAAAGCTTAGCCTGCGCTGTCGAAAGTTGAAACATCTTCTTCCTCATCTGTCTTCCCTCTTACAAGTTAGGTGCAAGTTTGTCTAGTAAGCCCCTCACTGCAAACCTTCACGCAAAATCTCTGTAGATGCGTCTGCCTCTATGCATATCGTTAGGAACGGCTTGGCTATAGAGTATGCAGTTTTTTCGGCATGGTGCTCTGTGATGGGCCTGTTGTTGCGCTTCGAGCTGACCGAGAAGGTGGGTGGCTTGAGATTAGGTAGTCGGGGATGAGTGTCTAGTCAAAAGGGGCTGGTTTTGGATAGACATCTGCCACTACAAATCCCGAGACCACTGAAAGCTCTAGGTGATCTACGTCATTCCTCTCGATGTGATGTAATGGACTAGCGGAGTACTGCCGGGTCGGATAGGCATGCCATTAAAGATAAACCGCGAGAAGATCCTGCTAGAATGGAAGCGGTTCCTCGATTATCTCCAGACGTTCCAGCGGCTATGGGGATTTGACCATTGCGGTTGGATTCTACACTTCTACACTGGCGGTGCGTGGAGATGCTAGATAGGGAGAAACGGTTGCGGAGGTCTCGATATGTCCTAGGTGAAGTGGTCTCAGAAATGGCATGACGGGATGTGGATTGAGGTAACATGGCACCAAGGGCAGCAAGGGCTGCGCATGGGTTTCGACTTTGCCTTGGGGCTGATCCAATGCAATGTTATCTCGATTTAACGCTTCAGCAACTCACAATGGCAAACTGGCCCGCCGGCCGGAGCCCGAGCTTTATTCGACCAAATATCGATCTTCCTCCGAGGAGCTCCTTAAGGGATGGCCTGATTAACTAATCAACGATCCATTCGGCTGTCGTAATCAATCGTAGCCAAAAGAGGGACCTGCTGCTAGTCAAGGTGCTGCTTCCTTGTCTATCAGGTCTAGCAGCCGAGCGTATAGCCGTCGGCAGGCTCGAGGGCAAAGGGTCCCTGCCAGGCCAAGCAATGTGAATTCCATGGCCGGGTTTATCTACCTCTATCATAGCACCCTTCGGCCTTTTTGTCAGCCGTTCGTCACCGCCTCTCCCTTACCAGGTGGCAAGCGGCTACTTCCCACGGATACCCTCTAGTTCAACAACGAGCCTATGTGACATGGCAATGCTGGTGAGACAGCGGAGAGCTTGGAGCCGCAAGTCTCAGACAGCGAGTTCGAAATCAAGGCTATCTGGGGAACTATAACATACACACTGGCAGCGGCAGCTCCACCGACTTCAGCCCCTGCCGCCTAGCAGCAGCATCCCAACGATATAACCAAAGACAGGGAAATTGCTATATAAGATAGCCAAGGCTACCGTGCATGGAAGCCTGTTTTGCCTGTTGGTGCTGTTTGGAGCTACCGTGCTTGTCGTCACAGTTCTCTTTTGACGACGACGACAACGGCCAGACAGGAGTCAGGCATCTCACGAAAAGTCTCAAATTCTATCACGTCTCTTTATTCCCTATATCCTGGGCCGAAGCTTGAAATGTCGGGCCATGAAACTGCGCTGGTACGTCTCTCTTTGTTTCCAAGTTCCTTGAGTGTAAGTTATTACTTGAGGGATGGACGAGTATATTCCGCATAGCCTAATGCACCCCTCTAAACCTGCTCTCGTGGAGTCTTATTGTAGCTTGTTACACTTTGCTTGCAGAAGGAAAACTGGAGTCAACAGGTTGGTATTGGTGAGGAGGTCGCGTGGCTTAGACAGGAGCGCCCCAAGCTTGGATGGGGACGACGCCGCCGCCTCAAGTTAAGCTCACATAGTACGAAATGTACCATCAGATTGGACATAGCCAATTATAAGTAGACGTATGGAGAGGGCTATGACATTTGACGGGACCAGTTACCTCTCTGGGGGTTTCGCGCCAAGGCATGCTTAACCTCCACACCCAGCTACACATCAGCAATTCCCTGCTCCGAGACAAAGCATCAGAGGCTATACGGAGCCATAGCTGAGCTAGATCTGCGTATCTCACAGTTGTTTGCTAGTGCAGGTGAACATCCTTATGGCATGTCTAGAGAAAAATGAGACAACAGTATGCAATCTGCGAGTAAGGATAGGTAGGGGTTGTATCATTTGCCCGCGTAGGTACTAATTCTAGAATTTTCTAGAATTTAGACGAAAAATTCTAGTTTTTAGCAATATCTAGAATTTAGACGAGACAGCAACACCCCCGAGCTAGCTGGTGCTACCTTGTCACACGCAGACGACAAACTCTCTTCCTCGGCTTACATTCTATTTTATCGGCTGGAATTGCACGATACCTACTATAGGAGTTGTCGTACGATTCCAACAGGAGGATGAATCGAGCGATTCCAACGATGCCAACAGCTAGAATTGTACGATGCCAGCGGTTAAAATCGTACAATTCTAACAGCAAGAGTTAATCAATTCAACCCCTTGTTAATCACCGCGGATATGGACTGGGACTGTGTCGGGACTCTGCAAGGAGGGTCCCGGAGCAGGGCCAATTCAACGGACCTGGCCCGGGACCGGCTACTCCGGGGGTCTGTGCTTTTTCCCGGTCGTTTGCTTGAGTAGCCCCGGCATGCCCCGGCATCTGGGAATCCCCCGAGGATCCCCGAGATGTTGCATAAAGACCCATGGCTTGCCGGAGGGATTATAAGGGCAGGCTTCATTCCGATTTTTGGCTCGAGTATTTAATAAGACTAGACTAATTTGTACTCAATTCGCAATGTTTTCGTCAAGTCCAGCATTCCCACCACCCGCCAGCTTGGATCCGCCGCCTTCCACAACCCACCTCTCACTTACCCTCTCCCCCCCCCTCCCCACCCCCCTCCCGTCCCGCATACAACCCCACAAACCCCTCCACAAACCCACCACAAACATCCAACCACGGCGGCGCCAGCGTAGCATACGAGTAGTACCCAGCAGTATACCACCTCGTAACCTCATTAACAAAGAACCTCCCCCCACCACCCATCTCGGAGATCCCAACATCAAGCCGACACCCCACCCGCAGACTCTCCCACCGGCCATCCCGCACCAGCCCATCATCACGTAGACCGCAAAGCGGCACAGCTCATCGTACTTGGCGGCTCGCTCGTCGGGCGTGGCCAGCCAGTGGAAGTCGGACGGCCGCAGCTGCTGGAAGGTGATCTCCGGTCCGGGGCTGCGGCCGGATATGTCGTTGTCGTTGGGCTTGACGCGCACGATGATGATTATCCTGCTGGTGGCGGGGCCAGGCCCGCGGACGAAGACGCACAGCTCGCCGAAGTCGCGGAGGGCGGGGACGAATTTCTTGGTGGTGCCAGTGCCACTGGGGTCGGGGTTGTTTGACACTTCCGGAGGGCCGGGGTTGGTGGGATGGTGGCGCGCCTAGCTTTTTGGATCGCCGCGTCGACGACTGGGTTTCGTTTGAGGCCTGGTGCTGTGGTGCAGGGAGCTTGCAGTTTAGCATTGGACGCTGGGAAATAGGCAGCAGCTCCATGTTGCTTGTGCGGTTGCTGTAACTTTGCTTGACGATGTGGAAGCTGTGGGGGAACTGGATGGCGGCTGCAAAGGTGCCCTTGCCGCTGTTGTCGTCTAGACTGCTGCCGTCGTCGGGTGGATCTCCCTGAGTAGAAGGGGAGAGAGTACACGGTCCAAACCAAAGCATGTTCGAGGATGGTACCTAAACGTTGGGTCTGAAGCTGCCTGGGTGAGTATGTCAAGGCGACGCATGTCACTGACCTTGTCCTCCTTGAAGAGGAATTCCTCCTCTGGCGGACATACCTCCAAATTTCCATGCACTGCTGAGATGAGGCGCATCCTGCTGTAAAAAGCCTGCAGCGAGAGAGCCTTTTCCGAAGGGTATCCGGTCCGAGACAGGAAGACAAGTGTCTTTGGTTGGTGCTGGCTGCTGGATGGTTGGTTGCTCTGGCTGCCGAGCAGAAGATCTTCGAATTTAGATAGATCAAGCCCTTGCCATGATAAAGCCCGTTCCAACCGAAAAGGGCAGTTTGGGGAGTTCAGCATGAACATCAGCGTAACAATGCTTTGGTGAAGCCATCTCCCTTCGTCGAGATCAGTTTTGCCGGGGCAGGACTGCTCCGGCCCAATAAAAGCCAGCCCAAGGCTCTTTTCGAGCTGGTCGACAAGTTCGGGTTGGAGGAGTACCTTCATGTCCATGTCGTTGAGGGCACTGGCCACCCGGGGGGAGACTGGAATGCCGGTGGTCGACTGGTGTAGGATCTCGGTCTCATCTGGGATGCCAATCCAGAAGAGAGAAATGGTTGGACTGGCAGAGTGCTGAACGACAGCTTGCGGGAGGGCACCTTGCGGTGCAGTTGCTGGGGAGGTCACCACCGAGAGAGGCTTCGCCCGAGCAAGGGCAATACCTGCCAATTATCCACGCCATCGGTCAGTTTCAGGTTTGAGGACGACGGCGTGACGATAAAATAAAGCAACACCATACCTTGATGGAACAGGGTCAGCCTCTTTTCCAAGGGAGTTCCAGCCTCATCCTTCAACAACTTGGTAGCCATCTTTTCAATGCTGTTGCCGAGGAGAATGCTTCGGAGCTGCTGGTCTTGGTCGAGAATCGCGGATAGAGCAGAGACCATGGCCTTTGGAGACGACACACTCAATTCGAGGAGGCTTGTGATTTGGTCGTATTGAACGCACGACGCAAGCAAGATGATGACATCAACTGGTTCCGATTCGGCCAAAGCCAGGAGCTGCGACTCTCCTGATGGTGTCGATGATGAGTCTTTGGCTTTAGCCTCGCTATTTAAACCGAGCGACATGGTACGCTCAAGATTCGGCCGCAGGCGGTTGTAAACACTGTTCTTGTCGACCTGCCCCTTCTCGCGCCACTTGCTCGACCAGGAAGCAATCGCGTTGGCAAATTCGGCATAGTTGATGACTGCGGACTTGGTGTTTGGCGGGGCTGCAATGGCGAGCTGCTGGAAAATGGCAGCGAAGCGATTTGGACGTGTGTCACCCATGGCGTCGTTGTGCGACGAAGGCGTGGGTTGACTCGAATGTCGGTGGCTTTTCCGGATATTGCTGCAGAGGACACGAGGGAGCTGAACAGGTAAAGCCCGTGATTAATGGGTGTGAAATTTCTTTAGGGTACAAAGGTTGTGTGGTGCCTCATGCACGTAGTCGTCGCCCACGCACTAAACACCAAAATGAAAAATGAAATTTTTTGTCCTCGTTCACTTCTTCCTTTCTGCATCGTTCTGCAACCATCCCCGCATTTCACCATCAGAATCCAACGTCCAAACCTGCAGCCAAATGTCGAAAGGAAAAGGAAAGACAGGAGGGAAAGGTGGACAGGGGTCTTCCAGCAACACGGCCATGGCTCCCAAAGAAGGCGGCGTCAACCATGTCAAGGCTGAAAAAGCCACCGAAAGTATCCAGGTGGCGGAGCCGACCGAGGTAAATAAACTTACCCTTTCAGCCAAGCCCCAGCGACAGTAGACTCTGCTCCTTCTTGAAATCACATGAGTCTTATCTAACGTCATCCATACTTAGGACGAACCCCACGATTATACAGTCACCCGTCGCGCGACCGTTGTCGAAATCCAAAACCGCATTTTCCGCAACACCAAATACTGGTACGCCGTCGCCGTCTTCCGCACAGAGGAGCGCCTCCACGAAGACGGCGAGCGCGTAATGTCCCGCGACCCCCACCCCCAGGTGGCCGCGCGAAAAGAGGACGCCAAATCCCTAGCCGCCACGCTGAAGGCGGCCGCCAAACAGCGCCCCGACGGAGTCGCCGGCCCCATCATCACCGGCTACACGTACCTGATGCACGGCATCTTCACGCTGTGGGTCAAGTACCCGCACAAGCGGTTCATCCAGGGGAAGAGCGAGCACCACATGGTGCAGAAGTACCCCGGCGAATTCGAACGCTTCTGGAAGGAGCAGCACGAGGGCGGTCGCCGGGCTATCCTGGAGCTGCGGGCCGGGGAGGTGGGCGGGACGTCGTGGTCGGAGCTGGAGCCTCTCGGGGTTAGGGTCGAGGAGACACTGCACACACGTGGTGGTGTCAACGTCCTCTGCTTTGGCGGCGAGTCGTTCAGGACTGTCCACTTTAGCTTGACTAGGCTTAGAGCCGAGTGGCTGGGGCTGTACGAGGGCCTTGGCTAGAACCGCTACGCGCAGAAGTTTGAGTATGTTGTCGCGGATGACAGTGAGGCTATGCTAGATGATGCCGACAGCGATTTGTCTGGGGCGGAGTTTTCTGAGGTTGAGATTGAGGATGAGGATGATAGGTTAGGGTTGTCTTTGCCACATGAGTGATTATTCCGCTGACTATTCATTTAAGCTTTGCATTTAAATGACAGGTGGCATCCGGGCAGGATTTCTTCAACTATGTCTGAAGATGGGAGCTGCGGGAGGATGTTGGTGGCGATGATATGATGATGATGGCTGTCACATCTGGCTTACAAAAAGGAAGATTGGATAATTAGTTACGTTGGGAAGCATCAGAGCAGAGATCAGCAGGATTTGTCTTGACGTGTGTCTAAGCGTAGGTCTTTGCGAAGTGATCTGATATGTTCAAACTAGCGAAGATGGCAGCATTATGGAGCACATGTGTCCAACGAGCAGACACCGCTGCACGTCGAAGTCAGGTGCATCAACGAGGAGCTCTTCGATGGTTGTCTGAACGACATGGATAACTGATGGCTGTCCTTGATCCGAGCCCTTAATCAATTATCAGACTATTATCTTGGAAATCCATGACGAACTGAATGAAATCGAACCGAAGAGAGCCGCTAATGGTGGAGCTTCCCCCACACCATTTCTTTGGGAGACGACCAGCACCGTATTCCGGACTGGCCGTGGGTTTCCGTTGACCGTGATGAATTTACTGGAAAACCAGTCCTGCGATGCTGCCCTCGCGGGTTGTGGAGCTGAAAAGATAAGAAAGCGAAGAAAGAAGAAAAGCAGTGCAAAGGGCTATTCTTTTCGTTGTCGCAGGGGGCTCGTTCTTCCGAGAGGGAATCGTCCCGAAGCTCTGGGGAAGGCCTGACGCTGCCCATGCCGCGGTCTAGATCTGGCCCGGACCCTGACTCTGGAGTGAGTCTAGGCACCTCAACATGTATTTGGACAAGTGGCTTGTCCATGCCTTCGAATCCCTTTCAAGAGAGCCGCGTCTGTGTGTCTTGAGGTGGACCGGGAATAATTACCTGGAGCCAGAGGAGAACGTGGGCCTCTAAGCTGAGGATAACTCCCAGACCCAGCCGAGGAGAGCCTGACTGCCGTCAAGTTTAAGCAACACCACAGCCGCCGTGGACATCTCTCTCAATTATAAACCTTATCCACATTTGGTTTCCTTTAGATGTCGATGTTCGGCCTAGAGTAGCGGCGTCTTCTTCTCAGCTTCTCGTGCTCTTACACCTGAGATCATGCAGGATGCTTGATAAAATGCTGCATATCCCTAGCGGCATGCTTCGACGCAGTTATCGTTGCGGCGGGACTGCCTGCCAAGGTGTGTCGCTGCGCCACATCCCCCGACTATGCTGAACGCTGTCACGTTGTGGGAATGGCTGGAAACCAAGAACCCGTATTATGTCGGTCAACTAGAAGCGGGATCTGACCCGCACAACCGTACCCTAATTATATATCTTCCAGCAGAGACGTAAACCCGCAAATGTGGGCATGCCTTGGCTAGGGACAATTCCCAGGATAACGATGCAAATTACGATACTACAACTATTGATGCGGGTACGGTACCGCGATTACTGTACTGGTATTACAATACTGCGATTACGATTATTAGGACTCCCGATATGCTAGTACCGCCCAGTACTGCTGAAACCGCCGATACTGCCGAGACAAATGAGAATCACTAGCTATGCCGCCTATACTAAAACTCCTGCCGGTACTGCTGGTACTGGCAATTAAGCGATACCATAATGGCAGTATCGTAAGCAGTATCGTAAGTAGTATCGCAATAGTGAAGACAACACTATCGTGACTCTTCCCAGGGCTAAAGGTAGCACTTAGTACCAGTGCACAACGACTCGCGCATCAAGTTCGCCGTCTGATCGAAGCGGCGGCTTGCTGTTGAGGTTGAGCCCGGGTCCTGGTTCTTGGGCGTCTTGAGATGCGCATAGTAGCACGACATTGTCTAGGACTACTCTTCTTCAACATACTAGCTGTGACAGACAGAACAGGGCGTTAGTGGCCTTATCTGGCAGCAAGATGGCGACTAATTACCTCAAAGGCTTCTCCTAAGATGAGACAATAACAGAGAGATGATGACGATATGTTAAGGAGTGTAATCCTGCCGAAGTAGCTTAGGTCGAGCTTTGCCAGCGATCAAACCTCATCCATCTTGTCCACATGGCCAGTGAGAGTCTAGGTCAAGCCCCTACCCCCGACTGATCTAACAATACTACGGATACAGCTGACACTCTTCCTGCTAGTATTTGCGGCAGCGCCGATACTGTCGGTACTGGCGGTACCGATATATTGTCGGTACTGTCGACACTGCCGGTACCGTCAGTACTGTCAATACTGAGATTATTGTCGGTACTGACGATACTGACGGTACAAAGATATTGTTGGTGCTGACGGTACTGTCGACACTGCCGATACCGTCGGTACTGCCGATACCGTCGGTACTGCCGATACCGTCGGTACTGCCGGTACTGCCGGTACTGCCGGTACTGATTGATATATTGTCGGTACTGTCGGTACTACCGTAGTGAGATTATTGTTGATACTGCCGGTACTGCCGGTGCTGCTGGTACCGACAAATTTGATGGTATTTTCGGTACTGTCGGTACTGTCCGTATTGTTGATACTGAGAATGGCTGCCGATACTGTCGATACTGAGATTATGTCACCACTGCCGATACTGACGGTACCCCTGATGTTAAGGATGATGCTGAAGATCGCGTGCGTTGCCAGTACCGGCAGTACTCCCGTCAGACCCGTCAGTCCCAAGCAGAAGCTGGCATACTAGCATGGGGTTATTGCTGACCAGCGTGACGCGTGTTCGACTAGCAAGATGCCTGGCTTGGGCTTCTCAGACCGCGAACTCCAGTGGTTTTGGCCAATGGTTCGACGGCACGCAGGTTTGGACAGGAGGACAACTTTGTGCCAACGCAGACGCGGCTATTTAGCCGCTTGAGGCAGATCTGCGTGTGGAGGGCAATGACGCTACTTGTTGATGTTGACGATCCTATTGAGGACCTTGACAAGGAGGTTGATGTCTAGTTTGTTGCTGAGTTGGTGTAACTCTCTGGGGAAGCGCTGGGACTGTTGGCACTGCTGCAACACCTTGTCGGGCATACACTGCTGCACCGGATATTCTTGTGATGGCGCTGCTCAGGGTTAGGAGCTAAGTCCCACCAATCAAGGACGATGGTGTCTACTACCTTACTGTAGCAGAGACTGAAGGTGGTGGTGGCACTAGGATTGCCAGGACCGTGGACTAGCTCTGGGTTCGGTTAAGGCGCATCGCTTCCTACTACTTTGACCAGAGCAGCGGCGGCTAGCAACAACAACAATGATAATACTGTAACCAAGTGACCTAGCACGCTAGACATCACTCTCGACAAGGTTCTCGCGCAGGTCTGGTTCACTGCCGGGGGGTGGGTGGGTATGCAGGAGCAGTCAAGTTAAGCGCCACAGAATCGGTGCTGGCGGCGATGACAGCGGAGCTAAAGAAGGCGACGTGATAGTTGTAACGTTAACTGAACTTGGTGCCATACCCAACGATTGTGGTTGCTTAGTTTGAGGAGAAAAGCAAGCCCTTTACAAAGTAGGATCTGGACGTCTTGACCTAGCGGTAGGAGGTTACAGGAGAGGTCTTTAAGAAGCTGTTAAGGCATGGGGAGATGGAGGGGAATGGAGACGGCAAGAGAAACAGCAGCTAAAACGCCAACAGATATAGAGGCAAATACCGGCTTACGAAGAGAGATTGGCGCAAATATCATCTAGATGATTAGCTAGTGGTTGCGTCTGTAGCCTGACCGTATAAAATTGGTAGCTCTCCTCAGCTATGCAACGGAAGCCCTCGAAAACCGACAATCCTTCAATGGCTTGGCAAAGTCCCCCTTCCGTAACAGGCCAGCACTCGCGGAGTTCCTTTTCCGGCCGCAGGTCATGGGCAAGGAGACGAGTTGTCAACTCCTTTAGGTCCTTCCCTTGAGCCGATGCGGCTGCTCCCTGAGATGCCGAGTAATACTGCGCTCCCCAGGGACGATACATGACCCGCAGGCCCTGCAGACGACGACCTGGTAAACCTCGTTGTAGATGAAGTTATCTAGTTCGTCCGAGGGAGGCTTAGGCTATTCAGAACCGGTAGGGCCGCTCTGCAAAAGACTGCAAGGAAGAGTCTTGATGTCCAGGGGATGCAGAAAACTACCTTGCAATGGCCCAGGGTCTGCATGCCAAGGACCCTACAAATATTCGCTTCTCAGGCAGGAAACAAGGACTATACCAAGCATAAGGTCTTCTGGTTGGGATACCGATGACGGGAAGATCTACATACACCAAGGACCAGCAGGCGGCTGGTCCGGAACAATGACACAACCTAGCCCCGGGATAATAATCAGTATGTGCTTCTCGTAGGCATCACTAGCACAGCGGTATATTACGCACCTGTGGGTATTGAAGGCACCCAGTGGTCCAAAAACGCCTTCATGCAGGCCGCCGCCGTTGCCACCGCATACCGTTGCCACCGCATACCGTTGCCACCGCATACCGTTGCCGCCGAATACCGTTGCCACGCCTTGGTGGTCTCGACGGAATATCCGACGAGGAGACCAGAGGGAATAAAAAGAAATCAGGTAAACCAATTGAGAGGAATCGATTGGTGGTATTTTTATTACTCTCCAACGCATCGCCGTGAAGTTGAAGTAACTCTCTCGATGGAAAAGAGCCCAATCGTGATGAAAGTTGCGCCAATCGATTCCGCGCAATTGATTTAGTTAGTTGGAAGAGTATTACCGTGTCGGGATTCATTTTGGGATGGCAATTGCGTGTTCTCTATGAGATGGCGGGCTAATTATTCGGGCTGGGTGGGTGATGGCTTGTGCTCTGCGTGACACCAAGCAAAACCGCCCTTCGCGATAACTTCAAGCCGAGTTTCCACCACAACGCCACAACATCGCAATGCATATTCCAGTTTCAGTCTCGCCGCAACAACGTGGTCAATTGAAGGTTCGACATTTTTCAGTGTCGCATTGTGCATGCGGCTCTATTTAATTTCTCCTTGCCACATTCTCCTCGTTGCTGGGTTTGGGGGTGGCGGGCAATCCCTTGCTTGGAACCGGTGTGCGATTTGCTTGGGACTGGTGTGCGATTTGCTTGGGACTGGTGTGCGATTTGCTTGTGTGGTAGGCGGGGGTTTTTGTGTGGGCATGCTCCAAGCGGGACAAGTGGGACATTCCATTTGGCAATTGAGCGTGCAGTGCTGCAGTGCAGGGTGCGGAGATCCAGGGCCGATCGCCCATCGATGTACGGATTACTGCCCCTGCAGATTGATGTACTGTGCTCCAGCAGTACGCGATGTATGCGGTACCGGCTGAGGACACCCTGTAGCGCCAAGTGCCCCTGTAGTACCTGCATATGCACAGTACAGTACATCGGTAGCGTGCTCCGTTCCTGCCAATGATTCACCTTGTACTTTTTGGAGTCGAGGGGTAGCGCAGCAATTCCCCACCAAGGCTGAGAGGGGTGGGTCCCACACCAAAATATCGTCTCTCATCGCATCTGATATCACATCTCATCATCAGGCCTCTCTCCAAAATGCATCCAATTCCTGACAGCTGAGGGTCTCCCGATGGACTGGCTCTTTTACACAGGTACCCGCCCGGTTTCCTGGCAATCCGCTTGTTTTTCTCCATTTTACGCGTTGTTCATTGAACCTTAGGCACCAACGCGGGCCGACCCCACTTATGGCTCGTGCACCGCGACGCAAGGCTGCCAACAGTCTTCTTCCCTTTCTTCCGTCACTTTCCTTCGTCACTTTCTTTCTTCCTTTTCCACACCAAAACCACACCCTCTGCACCCTCTCAATCAATCATCTCCGCCATCGCGCGCCTTTTTCCACATCTCCCACCCTCTCTCGAGCGCCTTTCCTCTCGCGCGCGTTCAATCCTCCTCACGCAACCACCCCGCACCTCCTCCGTCAATCGACACGGCAGCATCAATGAACGCCGGCGCGGAGGCCAGCGCGACTCCCTCGGCCCCCGGCGGCGGCGACATCTCCCAGCTCACGTCGACCGAGAAGCGCATCCTAGTCTACAAGGAACAAACCCTCAAAGCCTGGCCCGACAGCGCCGCCGAGTTCGAATCCTTCTTCGAAGGCGCCACTGCGCGCGACTTCTTCCGCGAGCTCAGCCATCTGAGCAAGATTTGCCCTTCATGGCAACGGGCCAAGGGTCTCCTGCTCCAGGCCCGTGACGAGCGACGAGGCGGCCGCCTGCCCTCCCTTGGCCCCGGCGGTAAGGACAAGCCGTGGGTCCAGAGCGATACGAGGCGCGCGATTGAGAAGGTTGCTGCGGAGGATCTCGAGGGCACGATGCCGCCGCCGCCACACACACCCGCCCAAGGCGCTCCAAGAGCAGCCTCCTCGGCCCAGCTCTCACCGCGCACGCGAGTCATTGCCCGTGTGCAGCGAGAGGGGAGAGGCACCGCAGCTACAGTCGCCAATCCAGGCACCCCGGGTAAGCAAGATTCCCTCTCCGCTCGGTGAGAGCAGACTAACGTTGGATAAACAGAAGCTGCCGCCACGCCTGCCACTACAACTACGCCCGCTGCCACCTCCGCCTCTATCCAGACCACTCCAGCCATGTCGCCTGGCAAAGTAAGTCCTCACATTCGCACCTCTTCTCCCAATCCCCGTCATTTCCTAGGCTGACGTCGCCGACGATCCAGCTGCAATCTTCGACGCCGGCCCCCGCGCCGCCCAAACCTCCAGTGCCCTCCACGAAGCCCCACGCTCCCCAGACCAGCGACAATACGAACGGCGTGGCAGGGCCATCGAACTCCCAGGGCCAGGCCCGGAACGCGACCACAACACCCAGCAGGAAAGGGAAGATAGCCGTGGTTATTCCGCAGAAGCGGCGTCACGAGGCCACCGGCGAGACCCGCGAGCATGAGCACGAGGACACAGCCGACGGCGATCAGGATCCGCCTGCCAAGAAACATCGTGCCACCGAGAATCCGGAGAATGGCCTCGTGGAGGATCAAGATGAACACATGGAGGATGTGGTCGAGGTGGTCGAGTTGGACAAGGGTCCTGAGATTGAGGAGATGGACGAGGACCACGAGTCCGAGGCGGAGGAGGGACACAAGCCTCACGAGGACAAGAGCGCGTCGGTCAATACACACAATACCGGCGAGCAAGGCTTTTCCGCCCACGGCAACTCCGCCGCTAGTGATGCGAGCAAGAATGACGCCGGCGAGGAAACTGCTTCCTCTACCGATGGCTCTGCACCCAATACTCCCTCGCCAGCCCCGCGGAATCCCGCCCCTGTCGCCGGCAACGAGAAGAAGAAGGATGCCGAGGGCGCGACAACTGCTTCCCACGGGGCCAAGCCCAAGCCGGCCGAGACCGACTCCGAGACTGCTGGTGACCGCCTCGAGCCCGGCGGGTGGCTCGACGACAACATCATCCACAAGTGCCTCCAGACTGTGGCGGCGTCTCAGCCTCTCTTCTACAACGCCGTCGACCCGCTGCTGGTGCGGAATGGGCGGGCCCCGGACTGGCATCGGCTGCACCAGCTTGCAGACCCAAGCATCACCCTGCTGGTCCCCCTCCACATCAACAAGTCGCACTGGTCCCTCGCGACCGTCGCAGTCAAGGCCGAAACGCCGGGCATAGCCGTCGACCTGTACGAGCCGCTCGCCTCCGCCGCGTCCAACAAGGACGCCGAGCAGGCCGCGCGCAAGTTCGTCGACGACCTGGTCGGGTCCGCGCCCTACAACACCATGTGGGCCAAAGCCAGACGCGGCACCTACGGTCTTCGCTCGACGTTTGGCGACGGCACCGGCGAGGACGACGACGACGGCGCCCCGATCCTCGCCTACGACCAGGACGACAACCAGGTCTGCAGCTTCACCTTCCAGCGCTGCCCCAAGCAGACCAACGCCTCTGACTGCGGCGTCGCCATCCTCGCATACGCCTTCTACATCGCCGCCGCCATCCCCATGCCAGCCACGCTAGACTTCGACCTCTGGCGCGACCTCGTCGGGCTACTCTACCACCTCCGCCGCCCCTCCCCCACCAGCAACCACCCCGCCGTCCCCAGCCCCATGCGCGAGCTCCGCTTCGTCCGAGCTCTAACCACCAACTCCTCCCCCCGGACCAGCCAGACCCTCCTCCCCACCCCCGGCACCGCCTCCGACGAAACCTGGCTCCACACCCTAGGCTCCCTGCTCCGCCACCACGCCCACACGCGCGCCCACCTCGCCGCGCAAGCCGCGCCGCTGACGCGCGCCGCCGCGTCGCTGGCGCAGGCGGCGACGGTCTTCGCGGCCGTGGACGAGGCGCGGCGGCGGACCTACGCGGTCCCTGCCACGCCCGGCGGAGAAGAGGTGTTTCGCGAGACGCAGGCCGAGCAGCTCGAGGGGAAGTTGCGGGCCATACAGGACCTGGCGCAGTCGGCTAGGGAGCAGGGGGCGTATGGGAATGTCACGGCTGGGCTGGCGCAGGGGAGCAGGGATCTGGCTGCGCGGGTTGGGGCTGCTAAGCAGGCGAGGGTGGATGTTAGGGCGGTGCTTGATGTGCTGGATGTGAATATTGCTGTGGTGGAGGATTTGAAGGTTAGGATTAGGGCGAGGATTGAGGCTTTGGACAAGCCTGTTGTTGAGGCCGGGTATGCGCCTCGGCATATTGTGTTGTGATCTGCCTTGTCTTTTTTTTTTGTACTCTTCCCCTTCTTCTTTCGCCGTTGTTGTTTTCCCCCTGGTTTTTGTTGTGGTCCTGGAGCTGGTGTTGTTTGCTTCCGGCACTTTAAAGCCCAGGGCTCGACATGTGTTTCCCTCGCTTCCCCTTGTGCTACTTTCCCATTCATCCTCCGGGACGATCCCTTGTCGGTCTCCTACATTTGTAGATGCATTAATCTTGCCCTTCGCGGGGCGCTGAGCTCGATACCCTCGATACCCCCAATGTACTGTACCATCATGTAACAACTAAAGGAAAATAAAAGAGTACCTCGTTTTGTTGACAATACCAAGACTACGCGGAGTGTTCCGCTTGGCAATGTGGGTGCCGGCACTGAGAATGGCCAGGAATCGGCACCGGTACCGACATTGGCCACGGCATTCCCGGACTCAGCAACTTGACGCAATCGAGAAGCAAATCCAATATCTCTTGACGTTCGGAAGGCTCGCCCATCTCCCTAGAACGGCTATTTGCACTCTATAAAGTTGGTAGGTTTGCGCAAACTGGGTCTAAGCAGGAACAGGAGAGTCGGTAGTACCGCCAGTATCGACGGTATTGCTAGTAATCTCAGTATCGGCAGTATCGGCAGTACCGACAGTATCGGCGGCATTGGCAGTGCCGCCAGTATCGGCAATACTGCTAGTATCGCTAGAATCGGCAGTGTCGGCGGGAGTCTTAGCCGGTACCGTCAGCGTTACCGCCTGTGCGTACTGTCCGTTTTGTCGGTACCGGCAGTACCGCCAAGTTTACCAGTAGGCAGTACCGTCATTTCTGTCAGTACCGGTAGTACCGCCAATTTTACTAGTACTATAAGTACCGTCAATTTTTGCCGGTGCCGCCAATACTGCCAGTATCGACAGTATCGTGAATTTTTGTAGGTATCGGCAGTACCGACAATAATCCCAGTATCGCCAGTACCGCCAGTATCCTCGATATTGGGAATCCTGCTAGTATCGCCAGTACCAGTGACATTGGCAATCTTGCCAGTACCGCTAGTACAGGAATACTGCTAGTATCGCCACAATCGGCAGTGTCGGCAGTACGGGCGGTACCGTCAGTACCGTCAATTATTGCCGGCACCGTCAGTATCGACAGGATTGACACTTTTTGCCGGTACCGTCAGTACCGTCAGTGCCGTCAATTTTACCAGTATCGGCAACTTTGCCAGTATCGGCAACTTTGCCAGTATCGGCAGGTATTAGCATCACTCTCAATTTTGTCGTTACCGTCAGTACCAGCAGTACCGTCAGCTATCATGATGGGTACTGTAATCACAGCATCAAAATAATATCAGAGAGAATCCCACAGATACTGCTTTAATTGCCCTATCACTGTGAATTGGCCTCCTCCCTGTTCAACCGTTTGAGTAGCGCCCCTTCCAGTTTCGCTCCAGTTCGTGCTGGGCTGTGAGCCAGGCGGCATAGCAAACACAGATTGGCACGCCGTCTGACGAGGCGCTGGGATTTCCGGCCTCGGCGTCGTCGGCGCTAGTATCTCACAAAGTGTACGTGGTGCAGGTTTGGGCAGAATGACCGCAGTTGCAGGAACAGAGGATGGTATATGAGACATGGTGTTTGTGTTTGTTGTGTTGGTGACGACGGTGACGGTGAGGTTCTGCCTCCTCTGGGGTTAAGCTGCCTCCTATTAGCAGGAAGGGGCATGGGTTGGCATTGTTGTCCTCCTTATAGCTCTACCAGGTATCTGAGTTGTGACTTAGCTTGGCAACCTTAGCACTTAACGCCTCTGCCTGTGCCTTCCACCCCATAACCAATGAGATTAACCGCACAAACATCTTGTCATCGTTGGTGCCGGTCCCAAGTCTTGCGGCAAGGTCGTCAACCAATCGAAGGCGGTGCAACTGTACTGGAAGCCCTTCCTGTTGGCGGCGCACCACACCCGCATGCTCTGACTCCACTTCTCGCAGCTCAAGTCCGCACCGTCGCCAGAGAAATCGGTCCCAACCCCGAACCCAACCCGCCAGCAGACTACAAGTCAGGGGCTTGATACCCCATGGCCATAGCAGCATCGTGGAGCTCGGCAAAGAGATTGGCAGCGACGTCCTCGGCGCAGCGCTCGAGGGCATCCGCGGTGGCGAAGATGTCGCCCCCTACGTTGTCCGCTATGATGAACGATGCTGTGTTAATCACATAGTAAGGGTTTGTCGTGCCTCTCGGAGGACCACGGGAAGCCAGGCGGACTGTCCTTGAACAATGTGTCCTTGGTCTCTTGACGTTGGCGTTACCATCGGTGTCATCATCATCGGAATCTGGCCTGTGGTCTTGCATCGAGAAGCACATGTTGCCCGCGCAGATACTCCTCCTATCTCTGGGTCGGATGTCGATGGCGAAGACGACACCCCATTTCCGGCGCTGCTGGATGGCGATGGAGCGAGCTACGGGCTATGTCTATAGATACTGCGGCGGAACTTACAAGAGAGACTGTTGGACATGTCCTAGAGAATGTCGAGAGATGTGTTGTTGGATGGCGATTGGAAATACAAATAATTGGATATGGCCTTTGCCCTGTCCATCTCTATCTTAAGCCTGGCCATGACGTGTGTATGAAAGGGCTGGATACAGGCGACAGCGTGCCGAAGTGTCCCGGAGGCAAGTAATGGTGAGAGGTGTGCGGTGAAGAAACTCGCATCCGGCAGGAGGAACACCAGGTTCAGCAAGATGTGAGTGCAGAGCCAGCCTAAGATGCGCCGCGGAAGGTAGCCAATACGGACCGGTTGCCGGCGGACGGTAGCCTCTAGACCACCAGCATCGCCACCAGGGTTAGCATAGCCATCCGTCCCCAAGGTATAGGGTGTTAGGTAGACTTTGTCGCGAATATGGTGAAGGAGCCTGCGGCATGTTCATCAGGATTAACGGCAAGGCTGGTCAAGTAATCATCCTGACCATCCCTAACCATCTCCTGGCCGGGGGAAAGATGTAGAGTGATGGGGGAGCCAATGGCAGTGGCTGGAAGGAAGGATGAATCATGATTTCGAATCGCTGGAGATAGTATGACTCGGAATTGGGGCCCCAGTCAGGAATCTCCGATTCAGCTTCGTCTCCTTGTTTTGGCGAATATGCATGGCTGCTACCTCTGCTGCTGTTGTTGCCGGCACGTCGTTCCATGAAAGAACAAGAGTCATTTTCTTGCTTCATTTACCATTACAGTTTCTGTCTCTCACACATGCTCTCAATCCATCTTCGAGTGAATATGCATCTTGTCTATTTTTGCTAGGTCTTATGGAACTACAGAGCATCCACTGCCCTCTAATTCCTCAGCAGAAATAGCCCGAGGTGCCAGGATCGCCAAGAGTAACCGAGGACGGAAGCAGCAAGTTTACCTCAAACCCGTCGTGGATGGAAATACCAAAAGCCATACTACCAAAGGCGCCACGCTTAAATTTCACACCTCGTCGCCCAGGTCAAGTAGTTGCAGCATCAACGACAATACCAAGTACACAATATGACAGTGACGATGCTGCCGATACTGCCGATACTGCCAGTACCTACAAATTTGACGATACTGCTGAGAATGCCGCCGATTCTGCCGATTTTGCCGGTACCGACAAAATTGACGGTACTGTCGGTACTGCCGATACCGTCGGTGCTGACGGTACTGCCGGTACTGCCGGTACTGCCGGTACTGCCGGTACTGCCGGTACTGCCGGTACTGCCGGTACTGCCGGTATTGCCGGTACTGCCGGTACTGCCGGTACTGCCGGTACTGCCGGTACTGCCGGTACTGCCGGTATTGCCGGTATTGCTGATACTGACGGTACTGACTGAGAATGCTGCCGGTACTGCCGGTACTGTCGATTCTGCCGGTACTGTCGATACTGTCGATACTGCCGATACTGCCGGTACTGGCAAGATTGCGATACTGCCGGTACTAAAATCCAACAAGGTGCTATTCGCCGCCGCCCATCCCTATGCTAAGATTAGACTGAACGTCTCAGGGTAACAACCCTCCATGACAGCCTTGTCAAGACAACTCTGCCTTCGCGACATACTTAGGAGCTGATACGTGGAGATCTACACTTTGCAAAACCTGCCCTATTTTACCGCAGCCATCTATCATAGGGCTAGAGAGAGCTTGCCAGCCATGCCTTAAGACCAACCGAGTAGCTGACCGACAATGGAGACCCAGATATTAGCCCGCCGGCTGATAGTAGCGGTGGTTCTTCCCGCTGGGAGGTGGAGGACAGCGGAAGTCGACAACGTCACTCTAACTTGGCAGTGCAATACCTGGGCGTGGCTATGGGGAGCGGCAGCCTTCATGGTTGACAGCGGGGTGATTGCAAGGACTGCCCGGGGGGGGGGAGGGGGAGGGCAGCAAAAGGAGCGGGAGTGAAAGACGGGGGGAAAGGGGGGCCAGCTGCTCGACTCCACGATAACTAACTCGGGCTCTCACCTGCGGTCGTCCTAACCGGCTGGTCACGAGCACTGCTTGCCAGACCATCAATGTCAATTTCTTTCTTCTTGAATGCAGCAGTGTCGATGCCATTCCTAATCTTTCTCTCTAGCAGCTCATTTAACCTTTTGGTAGGCTAGTGGGCTATTCCATGGTGGGGAGGGTGACGGTTACCCACTCGACGGGCGAGGCGGTGGTCTATGGGATGGAAGATAGGAGAGTCTGGCAGAAGGTGAAGAAGTCAGGGCCTAGGCTGCTGTATCTGTCTCTGCGAGGGGAGGAGTGATGTGGTAGAAATGAACCTCTCTCTGCTTCTGGGTCTGAACCTTGACTTCCTCTCTCCTGTTTTCAACCTTGTCGTTGACATAGATGGTTTCGGCGTCGAGTGGAATTTCGTGGTTATCGTTGGCTCCTGTCTCCTGTGCGTCCTTGACGCCTATATGGTCCACATTTGACCCGTCTTGCTCCTTACAGGATGGTTCCTCCTGTTCATATTGTTGCTTGTATCGGATTAACTGTCTTTGTCATTGTAATCATCGGGGTGAAACGACTTCTCCTCCTCCTCGTTGTGAATGTTTTCGCAGGGGCGCTTCCAAGGAACGACGAGAGGTAGAATATGCTTCGAGAGGTTGCTATTCTTCTTGGCGGAACCGGTTGTGCAGGCAACAGACGCAACAATGCTACTTTGTAACCTGTCACCGTCGTAAACCCAAGGCCCGTGGCGGATTGGTAACGCCTAGGTCTAGCCCCGGGCCCCCGAGGGAACTCGGACGAGTCTCCCAGGACGGAGTTCTGTTTGCTGCTGGTTGAGAGGGAAAATGTTAGCATGTTTAATCGCTGGGGCTAGGACTGGAGAGGAAGGCTCGTAGTGCACCAGCTTGCCAGCACTCACGCTACGGATCAGCTTCGCGTGTACGTTGGCAAAGCCATGCCCTGTGATTATGACTACAGCGTTGTCGGCTATTATGTAGTAGTCAAAGACGGCGGTCGCTGGCACCGGGAGGTGCCAGCTCTGAGGGCCACGCAGCACCACCTCTAAACGAAGAGTTGCGAGCAACGGTCTGGATATTGAATATGGAAGACAGGTAGGTAAAGGTAAGGCGGACCGATGGGAGGGCCTTTGAAGCAGGCGGTTGAAGTTTCGGACAGGAGGGTGGTCTAGACACTCCCTAATAATGAGGTAATTACCCCTTGAAAATCGTCCCATGGGAAAGTAGAGATGAAGCCAGGTCTCCGGAATTCCCCCGGCAAGAGCCTATATGAGGAGCAAAGACGCAGCTGTCACTCAACGACCAAGTTACAAAGCATGACTAGATCGCGGTGCAATTCACGCCAACCCCTATGCATGCTCTGGCGTAGACTCACGTCACTGTCGTGTCCTCTCCACTCCGCGCAGCCCTTTGTGGTCAAGGTGGCGGGATGGGTCTCTAGGAACACTATTACTTTGTCAGCTAAGAGCCAATACTGCCTGCGAAAGAGAGAGGGAATCAACTGCAACACTCTCGGTAGTCACTAATATTGATACTGCTCAAGACGTGTTCTTAGGAGGCACCAAGAAAGCCAAGATAAGCAGTTCCTCCTTTCGCGGACCTGCACGCATCCCCCCCGCAAGGCCCTAGAGAGCATCCGCAGCTTCCATCCTCTCCTCCGTCACCCCATCTAGGAGCCTCCCAAACCTATTTGCCGCATCCCGACTTAGCTGGATTCCCGCTGCCGCTCCCTGGCAGGATAATGGTCTGATGGGATAGCATTACCTTAGGTGTTGTATCTGCATTCTTCTCAGCGGCTAGCCGGCCGACGCCAGACAAGATGGACGCCATGCCCTAGAGAATACTTTTCCAAACTACGAGTGCCATCGGAGCCACCCTCGCGTGCCGCCGGTACCGCCAGTCTCGACGAATTTCAGGAGGCACCGTCACTGTTTGAAGACTGGCCTGGCCTTTCGAGGTCGCGTATCGTCCGTCTCTTCCTCGCTGGACTGTGCTGTTCACGAGCTTGACGCGACGGTCAGAACCTGCCAGGAACAGGCTGCAACGGCAAAAGGTGCAAGACAACGTATAATTAACCATGAATTTTACTCGTGTAATGACCTTAATGGGAGCTCTATTAGACCATTTGGCCCAAACCATCCAGCATTGACTCTTAAAGCCCAGACTGACGAACAAACTTCCTCACAAGCGCGAGGCTTGTAGGGGCGGTAGTCGGCTTTGATGGAGAGGGGCGGGAAGGTGCTTGACATGCAGTGGGATGAGCCCCAAGGATACTAGATGCCTGGATCGTCTTGATGGAGGCGTGGCGGTATGGTGAAGTAGTTGGAGTCCATTGCAGGAATTCTTCTCCTCGAATTAGCCGATGACTTTTGGCATGGAAGCCACTGGTCCTACTAATCAACCGGTAGTTGCTGCGCATATCCTACTCTGCAGGTTCGGCGTTTACTTCCATGACGACAACCAAATGTCTTGTTTGGCTTCGCCATGTCCCTTACAAACTAGCTTGCAGTCTAGCCTGGCCGCCTTTTTCGCCAAGGACCATGAGAGTTTCTCTCCTCAACCCCGATTTCCGGCATGTCGTCCTCGGTATGTACGTGGACCGGCTATCAGAACCGTCTACCAGGCTTCAAGGAGACCAGTAACAGCCCAAACATCTTTGCCAATACGAAAAGTTGAAAGATCGCCTGCGAATTTTTTCCACTAAAGATGCACCGCTCGGATCGGCCGCCTCCTGAGACTTCTCGTCGACAGCCTCCTTACCAATCGCAGCGTCTTTGACTCCGTGCATCTTGGTCACCTCTCGGGAACAGGAGGCATTACTCCCAAGCTGACAGTCGTAATACCCAGGCCATCTTGCTCATCCTGTTAACCATGCTTGCTTGTGAATCCGCAAGCCACAATATGTTCCTCCCCTCCAGCCATGCCACACAAAACAACGCCAATCTGCCATGATTGGCAGGAATATAAGCTCTTCTGGGAAACAGAGACGGGAACTAGATTGCCTGTCTCTTGTGACAAATCCTACTCGAAAGTCTTGGCCAAAGCGATGGGACTCACCAAGCTGTCTTCACCAGACCTGCAGCTGCAGCTCTAACGAGCCTCCTAGTCATGGCGCGTGGTGACATGTCACTCCCATGGTCTACCCAAGAGGACGTTTATCTCGTTGTAACACAAGCAGCCGCTACCATCTTCAACGTTGAGGAATGCAACGATGGTGACGACTGCCCCGTACCTTGCATATAGGCACATCTACCAGAGTTCCGGCGCCGGAGCAGCCTAGGCGGGCTTAACGAAGATCAAGGCCCTAGCCGTAGAGCCAGCTGTAGAGGTTGTAGTGGCTGGGATAATGTTAGCCTTAGTAGGCAAAGCCGCTTGCGCTTACCATGAACCTTCCTTTCTGTGCTGACGACGTTGAGTATGGGGCACTGGACGAGGAGCATTGCGGAGGGGTCCTACATGAGTTCTCACAGAACCCTCCACGTGCATCACCATCCAAACGTACCGCGGCTCCAATTCAAGCAATATTACAAGGCGGTCAAATTCTTTGGGAGGAGGTGACTTACTATGCAAGAGGTGTACGACAACGTACTAGCACCAGACCTGAACGATATCCGGTCCACCGTATATGGCCCAAGCTGCGTAAGCTACTCCGTCGACAACCCGTCCGTCACTGGTAAAGGTGTTCCGGTCAATCCCACGACCTCCTGAACTTGGAGTGACATAGATGACCTCAGGGATATGCTCTACGTGAAGTCAACGAAGCAAGCTGCTTGAAACTCCAGCTTAGCCAGGCGCTGCGGACAGTACTCTCTAGGCCGGAACTACAACCCGTGATCCTGCAGCTGAAAACGTCGTCAAAAGACCACCGGGGATGCCGAAGTCTCCAGAGGCAGACAGGTAACAAGCAAGACGGATGGAATGTTCTCCGGCGGCAGCTTCGCCACAGCCGACTCTCTCGAAACACATGAGCACACGACTGCCGCTTCTTGCTTCTCGACTCCTCGACACCTTCAAACTACAATGGCCCTTCAATAACGACGGCAATTTTGAACTCTATCCCAAGCAGCAGGTGTAAATCAAGCTTGAGGCAGAAGGAGATTGCAACGGGTACTTTGACAGCTGCTCAACTCCTAGTTACTTGGAAACCTATGGATTTTTATTTTCCGCCTACAAATCCAGACCCTAATTTGAGCAGACTCTCGACATCAAGGTAGAAGATGACGCAGATTCCAGGGAAACAGTCAACGACAGCGTACAGTTCTGTTCCGGTTCGCCTCGCGACGGCGCCCAAGTGCAGGCTTCCTGTAACTTGACGGAGAAAAAGGCCTGCCTGATTCTATCGCCGAGGGTATCGAAAATCCCAACCAGTCAATTATGATCGACGGGGTGCCCACTACGGAGGAGTCGTGATGATGGCAATCAATCCAGTCCTTCGATAAAGCTTCGCAGGACCCATCCAAGTCGTCTCGGGCTGATGACTTCACTCTTCTTTGCCGAAGCTTAAAATGAGTACGATTTAGATGCGTTGTTCTTGTCGGAGAACAACCACATCTCCTCGTGGCCTATTCGCACCTCTAGAATGGCAGGGTATTCATGGCGTCTAATTCGTCTTTCCTCGTGTGTCCTCGCCCGGGATGATTGCGGGGCTGCCGAGATGTCCGGCGCTGCACCGTGCACGGGCACCCGAGTTGTCCCAGGGGCGTTCCCCGGTTAACTGGCACGTGACTAGGAGGTCGAAAAAAATTGAAAACAAAAACAAGAGACCCACCCACCCCCGCACCTAGACACGAAATAATTCAAACGCGCTCAACAAGGTCCACAGAACACCAAGTCTTACGCAACTATTGAGATTGCACCATGCGGCCAAACATTATAAACGCGTGGATCAACGACACCGATATTGCATTATCTGCACATTCGCCGCGTCTGTCGCTATCGAGGAAGCGGAAGGCGATCACGACCCCTCCAATTTCTCCGAAGCGACGTGCTGTTCTCGGCGAGTTGCCCGGCGCAAACCCCAACCGGCAAGCCACGATGCAGGACAATGACCATCCCAAGGTCAAATCTTCTTCAACGCCGACGCTGCGCGAAGCACCGAGGAAAACACTGCGAACACCATCCCCCACGAAGCGCCAGAAGCTGCACCATGCCAGAGAAGCTACAACATTCGACGAATCCTGGGAGAACCAAGTCCCGAGCGACTTTCAAGATGCCACCCCGAAGGCTTCCAATATCCTCCGCAACCAACGAGAACAAGGCGTGCTCCCGCTCCGCAGCAACCCCCCCAGCCAGCTCCTCCAGCATACGTATTTCCAGGCGCTCTCCGACAGCTCCGAGCCCGTCACGTCCCCATCCCGAGAGCCATCGTCCGCCAGCGGCACGTCGAAGAGATCAACAAGTCCCGTTAAGCGCGTGCTTGCACTACAAGATGTCGGTGGCGGGATCCGATTCATGGACCTCGGGGATGACTTCCGAGAGCTGGGGGACCACTGCAGGGGCCTGTTCCTAAACCTCCGCGACGACGCGAGCGGGCAACAAGTCGTCCCGGCTGCGGTTGCCAAGCGTGTGCAGGGAGACGCGCTTATTCGGCCGTATCACATCGACAACGAGGAAGAGGGCCAGCATTCCGAAGCAGCGCTCCTCGCGGAGCTTGCGGCGGTCCGGAAGATCAATCTGTCGTCCCGACGTTGCTCCCGGGATGGCGAGAGCGAGGGCGAGTGGAATACCGCCGTGCACGCCGTTCTACTCCGCCTGGCGATACTTGACGACACGGAAAAGTTCGGATCGTTCCCGGTTGGTTTCAGAAACGTGTAAGTTGTTGCCCCTCTTTCCATGCCCGCCGTGCCTGGTTGTAGAACTGCTGTCCCCCACGCCCGTACAGTAAAAGTAACTGATGTCGAGAAATCTCTCCAGAACGAGCGCAAGGATAGATCCCCGCTGGATGCCGCGGCATGCCTCGGGGCTAGCCACTCCGGGTAAGATGGTTGACTTCGCCATCTGTCTCGGCCCCGACGATGACGAAGAGGGCACCGGCGACCCTCCGAGGCCATACACCTGTCCCACATTGCGACGTGTCTCGAGCATCATAACAGACACCCTTTCATTCATCAACCACACAACCCACCCGAGCCTTCGCCATCGCCCCATCGCCGTCAGCGTCGAGACCAAGACCATTAGCCGCACCAAGGAAGAGGCGCAGGTCCAGCTAGCCGTCTGGGTCGCCGCCCAAGTCTATCGAATACGCCATCTCTGCGAGCAGACGGGTTGCGACTCCGACTCGGCCCTGACGCTGCTGGAGGCCATGGCATTTCCTCTTCTGTACGTTCAATCGGCGACGTGGACTGTCCTTTTCGCCCGGGCGTCTAGATCGAGCGGACGAGAGCTCTCCTTGGTATGTCTCCCCGATCTTGGATAGGGAATTGTCACTAACCCCCCGGTTTTCACCGCCCTTAGACGATATATTCCGGTGTACCCTTGGGCGACACGTCCTCGTTGATCGGTACTTATTGCCTCATCAAAGCCCTCCGGAGGTTGCGAGAGTGGACCGATGGTCCCTTCCGGATTTGGTGGGATCAAGTGCTTGACTGTGCTGGTGCTTCTGGCTGTTCGGGTTCATAGGCCTCGCAATTAACGGGAGGATTTGGCAACGCTCAGTCTACATCTTCGCGTATCTAAACCATGGTCCCCTATCTAGCAACCGCGTGACAATGTTCGAATCCCCCCCTGCCGTCCACGACATCACAAAACACCGTAGTGAATTATCATCTGTCTCTTGCCCTTGCCTTAATCCCTGCCATCCACCTATTGGCACAGCCCAGCCCTGCAGCAGCCTGCACATGTCGTGGACTCTCCCTGAGTCGGCAACACTAAGGGGGCAATGTCAAAGGCGCTCGTCGTCGTCGACGCGTTGGCAGTCATCATCGTCATTGTTGTAGGCGTAGGCCCGCGATGCTCCACGACAAGCACCTTCCGAACTAGCAGCGACAAGGTGGCGGTGAGATAGTTTGCAAGCAGCAGCAGCAGCAGATTGAGAAGATAGAAGAGATGCCAGCGGAATAGCAGACGAGGACAAGCACGTTGAGGATCTTGCCAAGAGCGGCGTGGAGATTGCGGATACGGGGGAGGTGCCGGCTTAGGCTGACTTCTCGGCGGAGCGGCGGAGGGATGAATACAGCTGGGTATTCATCAAGGGCGACGGAATATGGCCACGGGCGTGGCTGAAGGTGGGAGCGGGGGAAGGGAACCGGAGTCGGAACCGAGGTTCTGGTAAGGGTCCTCCAAAGTCCGAAGCTGAACCATTTGTAAATGCTTTCGAGTGAGAAACCCAATTGGAATCAGGGACTTGGTGTTAACATGTGGACTGCCGATTTATCGAAGGAAAGAGAACCGAAATAACTTTGAGAATGGCACCCAAGCTGCGCGACGGCAGCTCTAGCGACAGACATAGGTGTCGCACCAGGCCATCTGGATCGATATCGTCTAGATCAATCCCATTCGAGTCGTAATTAATTGCTGCTGTTATCTATTTCACGCATAATGAGTTGCAAATCGGAGTTTGAGCTCGGATCGAAGAGCCGCATCGCTACCATAAGCTGCCCCATAGAGGTCGTCGGGGAAGGAGCAGTTCCAGGCCAATCCCACCCCACAGTTCCAGCAAGTCCCCGTCCATATACAATGCCTCAGGCATCCAGGTGAATCCAGCGGTGGCGGCAAAGGTGTTGTGTAAGTCGGAATGCAATGCCCATGCATGCATATACAACAACCGCACGGTAGCCGAAGTAAGGCACGAGGTCAAGAGGTGCAGAAGGGATGGAAGAAGGGGAAGATCCAACTACGTCGCGGACGGCTACAGTGTGCTTGGGTTCGACAAGGCCGGAGAGGGAGAGCCCGTTCTTGGGGAGGGCAGGAATCGGTGCGCCACGCAGGTGTGGGGAAGAATACTCGCTTGCTCTTGGGATCAAAGGAGATCTGGCTTTGCATGTCTAGGATATTGTTTAATCTAATTCCTCCTTTCCCCCTTTTGACAGTGAAAGTTTAGGATATTCAGGGAGAATAGCTTGATGACGTGAAAGCTGCATCAGAAATCCTTGCTGAAGTTGCATAAATACCAAGCCGGCTGTCTATAATTATTTATCGTTGGCAGTTTCAGCCTTTCTTTCTACTTCTTAGCAGACTCTCGATTAGACAGTGCCTTCCTTCATACTGTCTTCTTGTAGTTGCTAAATAGGGAAGCAGAAGAAGCAACCGCATCGCGAGTTTTGAGCCTGCTTTGCTTCCATCCTCATAGACTAGCATGTAATCTTCGGTTACACCGGTAGACTATAGAAGAAACTGTTTAAAAAAAGCCAAGAGAACGTCGAGGTTTTCGTTAGATCTCTCGCATCGCTTGTTGCCACTGTACGCGCACGCATCCCCGTCTTCGATCAATCCCATGAGCTCAAAGTGGTTGACTTCTGGAATGCCTATCTCCTTCCATGGCAGTATGTCTAAATACCACAGGGGCAGACTTATAAGAGAGGGAGGAAGTGTGCCAGAAATGTTGGATGTTGGAGTTACTTCTCATTCGACACAGTAAGCAGGGACATCATGAACGATGTTCTTGTCGTAGAATGCGCGCCTAATAAACGCACCGACAACGATAGGAACCGGAAATCCTCTTCAAGGCAGTCACCTCTGTGGATAGTTGCTGAAATGAAGAAGCCGCTCTCGTAGTCGCCTATCTTCAGGGGATGTCCACTAGCTGCTCGTGTCGACAATCCAGCGCCTCCAGGTCTCACCAATGCTATCTAGAAGCTATGTGGACAAGGCGTAGAGGCCAAGTACCGCAAACTTGCCGTTCTCATAGCGCTGCAAAAATGCTTCCTGTCCAGTTGCTGCTCGTGTGGCAGACGCCACCATATTCTAAGCGCTGCTTAATGTTACGCTTCCTTCTCTTAGACCGGGAACAGGACAACGGTACGAGGCAGCCACATTGTCTGTCCGAGGTGACGGAGACCCAAACGAGCGCATGAAGGTGGGAGGTCCCCTATCCCGAGCCACTCTCGGTATGATTGGGCTGGTGGGAAACGACGCCTAGAAGGAGGCACATTTTGGGAAGAGCAACTTAAGCGAGACCCAAGGTGTGTTAAAGCGTTCCCCGTTTATTTGGGTAACTGGTAATTATATCAGAAGCCAACTTCGGTCTTGGGGCGCAGCGGCTCGTCCTTATCGCTAAGGAGGTAGAGGGTGTTCCTCACAACTGAGAGGGTTATGGGAAAGCCGAACCCCGGGTGCGGCGCCGCCCGCCTTCCAGAGTTACGTCGAACGCCTTAGGATTCTCTACTAACTCCTCACTACCAGGACAGTTCTTGATAGAACTGCCTCCAATTAGGAACGAGACAGAGATGGATTGGGAACTGCCACACGGCTATTCAACTGACTTGAGCTAGAACAGGTCCTCTAGTATTCAGCCCCCAGCGTGCAGATTTTTTACTTCGATAGAGGAGCGATATCTTGATCCCTGAGTTAGCCCTTGTGCTAGTCCTAGCTAGCCGTGTTGCGCCTGAGCAAGAAACGTTTCACAAGGCAGTGAATTAAGAATGTTTTAAGCATAAGGAAAGTCAAATTTAAGGGGTTTTAGGCAGGGTTATCGCAAGAGTCTTAGATGCAAAGATCTCAAACTCACTGTGGCTCCATCCGTCTGCTAGAGCCGAGGGAACGAGGGCACTGCTCCCTGGTGGTTAAAACGGTCGCCTCCTAGTTGCAACCCATTGTGATACGATAGTGCCAAGTTTGCAACGACCCTTAGGGGATTCTTGTCTGTTACTCCTTTCTCGCGGCGAGCATGGGGCTGTCGTTATAATTTTGAGCCTTCAAGCGGAGGGGCACTGTGCAGGCCACTGTGGAGAAGAGCGGCGCTAGCTAGATCTTGTCGTCAAACTGTCACTAGGGGTGTTGCAAAATGGAGGAGTTTGTCAGAAACAGCAGAAAAGCCTCTTTAGCTAGACTTGACATGTCAAAGATTCTTGGTCAGACTTGACATGTCAACCTTTTTGGTTAGACTTGACACATCGCCGGTGTGGGCAAGGCTGGCGGGAAGCAGTTTTTCAACCGGTTGGTCCTAATGTGCAACCACCTCGATAACGTCATTGAGATAAGTAACGAACGTCTCAAACCATCTAACTGGCTCTATCCGGTGCTAAGTCACCGATTTCTCTACCAATAGAGCACACGAGCGGGTTTAGCAGAAGGGCACGACGACGATGCTGTTTAATCTACCCAGTGCACATACGTTTCTGCGTGGTCTTGGGCTAGCCCTAGCCACTCACTTGACAATCTGGCGTTCCATCGAGTTGTTGGAAAAGCGTTCCAAAGTCAGACTTGGCTAGGATTAGCCCTCGACTATGGCAGAGTCGGCAATGGCGTTGAATCCACCATCACCCCATCCTTTGTCATTGTTGTCGCCCTCCTCCTCCTCAAGCACAAGTGAATTTCATGATGTATGTTGAGCTATATGTGACGTTGCACGTCGCATTCCTCCATCACCCTCACCCCCTCCTACCCCCGCCTGCAGACCAAGGGCAGCGAGCATGATGTTCGCAGACTTCAAGTCTAGTTATTAGCCTGTCGGCTGTCTTCTGCTTCTTGGCCAATAATCTGGCTCATGTGGCGAGCCTACGAGGTGAGACTGACGACCCCGCCCACATGAGAGCCTTTAATAGTCTCAACTGAGGTCAAAATGCGGACAACAAGAAGACTCTGACCTACTAACCCCAAGTCTCTGCACCTGATTAGAGAGCCCTGGCTGCTCAACTCCATTCCGAATAGCGCAGGGTACAGTTATAGCTCTGGGATTCCAGCACCGAGTCAAACCAAAGTGTCGCCCTCGTGTAATCCAATGATAGCCACTCTATTCTACGCATCTCCACCGCGTGGGATTTTTTAGCAGACGCGCTTGCAAGGCCTTATCAAAACTAAGCTATTCTACCCCATCAACGCCGAAGCCCCTGCATTTATCAAGCGAAAACGCCGCAACAGTTAAATGCTTAGCGAAGGGTGCGATGGCAAATTTAAAGACTTAATGCTAAATTTCAAGGGTACCAAAAATGCTCATTGTTTGGAAATTCCAAAGTGCCTAAGACGCTTATGAAACGCCGCTTCGTTCTTAGCTATTGTACAAACTAATAGTTCTCGTGCAAGAGAGCCTATAGTAATACTTTCACAAATCTAAAAGAGAGTGTCTCTTTAACACCTAGGATAGTAAGGAGAGAATGACACATGTGGTTTAATTAAATTAGCAGCTAGCAGCTAGAATATGTAAGTTGTTATAAGACACTGCTTTCTCGTAGTGCTTGGCAAAAAGGTAGATTTTAGCTAGCTTTATTTGCGTTTTAAAACAAATTTTTTTAATCTCAAAAGGTTAGGTTGTGACTAAAGAGGTAGGTTGTGAAAGCAAGGTATTCAACTAGTGAAAATACTGCTATAAGCAGTAGAGAGGTAGGAAGTAAGGTAAGCGAGTAAGGTGTAAAAGACTAGTTGTATTGTGTAGTTGATAATTTCACCAAAGTTAGCTAACTATTCTACCTAAAAATATAGTAAAAATTCAGTCTTTTTGCTTTACTTAATCTACTAGATTAAACAACTTGATACCTCAGATTGTCAAAACGTT